TTTGGTCATTTTCTCATTGGCCAGGAATAGAGGCCAGAGAGCCAAAGATGAGGAAAAGCACGTGCAAACTCTGTGTTCATTAAAGGAAAACATTGTGGTGCATTTCAGATTGCGCGGCTATTTTCTCTGTGGGATTTCGCAAAAAGACTGCATGAAAATTGCTGCTGCCGAAGGACAATGAGCCTTGGGTGATGAACAGGTCGACAATTATGCTTGGAAAGTAAACACCTCACCAGATTATGGTAATATTGCGTTTTAATCACTGCATGCAGAACAAGAGCAAATGAATGTTGATACTTATAGTGGTTGCCGATGAAACAGAGCATCTTAATTATATGAAATTCGTCCTTAATAACGTTAATAACACATTGAAACCGAAGAAATGCCATTGAAAGGTGTTCTTCAACTGGAAAATTAAATCTTAAATGTTTGAAAAGAATTTCATTTGAATTTCAAAGGATTTTTGAAATTATCAAATTATGATTACCAAATTGTGAGTCTTTGGCATTCGCCACCCATTAAAATACATTTTGCGAAATGTTGAGGGAAAAGATACTTTAATTTCACGAAAATGTTTCTCAATTAATGCTCTAATAAAGAGCGCAATGATTGCAATCTGTGCTAAAGTGCGTCGAAAGAGCAGAAAAGCGCACAAATTATCACTTAATAGTCGTAGAGAGTGCATTAAAGTTTATTCTGCATCCTCTTAAACACTCCATAAAGGCTCATATTCCGTCAATTGGGGCTGTTTTTTAGCACATCAATTATGGCAACTTAAGGCTGAGCATTCAGCGTAATTGGCAAAGCTGTGTGAAACTGGCATAGTTTGCTCACAATGTTGTGTGTGAGTGGAAAAAAAGCACCACAGGAGAAACTTTTGAACCAATTGAGAATTTATGGCAAAGTTTATCCCACCATCGTGCTGTACAAAGTTAATTTTTCTACACATTTTACGACACTCACATGTTCAGGTCTATTCAGACTGAGAGCGAATGAGGCGATAAAGCTGCAGCTTGAAATGGTAATATTTCAATTTGCTCGCGAACACGGAACTTTAATTTAATTTAATTAAACAATTCTCGTCGTTTCTTCCAAGCCATTGGATTACCCAACACGAAATCACTGTTGCACTTCGACCTCAACGCTCTCGATTCTCATATGTTTTACCTCACCCCAAGCTCAGACAGAGAGGGAGAGAGAGAGAGAGAGAGAAGGGCGAGAAAGACGGTTCTTTTCTTATTAAAGCAACTTCCGCGGACGATGGGAAGCACTTTTAGCGCGGTGAAAATTAGCCAAACTGACTTTGTGAGAAAAATTATGAATTATGCAATTTTCGCACCACCAAATTACACACACACACACACAGCCGCAATGAATTGCATTCATATTCAAGTTGAAAGCACAAACTTTGTCTTCTTTGCACTCCGCAATTCGCAATTTTTCCTCCAACACTGGATTTTACATTGGATGTTTGCATAAAATTTGAATTACGATTTTTCCGAAGCCTGAGAGTTAACTAGAAAGGCGCGAAAGGATAAACCGAAATAGGTTTAGAATCGTTGAGATTCTCGTGCAACAAAAGGTGATAATTAATTAAAAAATAAAGTTATATATTCACAAAAACAGTTATTCAGAGTTGTGGAAAAAGGAAGAAAACGGGTTAAATTTTTCTAATGCTCGCAAATTGATCTTCAATCAGTTTTAGGACGCGTTTCAATCACTCACAATAGCCGTGAAGAATATCTTATTCAATTTTTTTACACTTGCAATCCATGCGACTATTGCGAAAGAAGCGAGAGAGAACGCGAAGCAAAAGGGTGAGCAAAAACCAGGCCGAACAGTTTGGTTGACTGAGGAAAATTGCTCTTAAATTTGGTGTTTACAATTTTTCATGTCAACGCATAAAATGCAAACACCCAATAAACTCCCCGTCGCGCCTTTTGCTCACTTTCGTGCGTGTGACAATATAATTTTATTGATATAAAAAAATATTTATCAAACCAAGCGTTTTTCTGCAATCAGAAATCTTATTTCAATTTAACACCCTTCAAATTCAACTGCCGTTTCCGTCGACTTTTCCACAGCACATTTTCTTGTGCCAAAACAACCCGTCCGGAAATTGCTGTCAATATTTTAAATGGAAATAATGAGTCTCTCAAAGCATGTGTGTTTGTTTATGAAATTCATTAATTAAATACAAAAAGTATGACTTGATTAAAAATTACCTCGTTTGCTACACGTTCTGCTAAAGAAAGTTCAGACTTTTGCCATACTGAAGCCTGTTAAATATTGACATCATCGTTATTAATTCAGGAACGAGAGGAAAAATTAATGGTACTTTATGATAACATGGAATTTTAGAGCATAAATAATTTATGGACATTGTCTTCCAAATTTCCTCTTTCTTTTCGCGCTACAAGTCAAGCTCGTCGATCAATTTGCCGGACAACGTGGACACTTTGCGTGGGTTGAGAAGGGAGAGTGCATAAATAATTAATGCCATTGTCTTGTACACAGCATCCAAAACACGATGCTGACCATTGTCGTTCTCGCTCTCAATAATTAGATAATGGAAAATCCATTTTCTTCACCTCCTCACCAGACAATATTTCGCATCCTTCTCGGCTTATCACCGCACACATTTTGTGGTTCGTTCGAGGGATCATGAGTGAGAGGATGTGTTAACCCCTTAAGGACGGTGGCGAATTAAAATAAACTCTGTCTCTTCTGAGATTGGATCACATTAAAATTGCTCCATTTTGGGTATCGTTTAAACGACTCCCTATTTATGTGAGACTCCGAAAATGTTTGACAATTTGTATGGAGAGTTAAAACTGTCAAATGTGTCATGAAAAATTATCCAATTTTATCGTCATTGTTTAAAAAGATCTTTGATTGATTCTGTATTTCGCACCAAAATTATTCCAAATATCTCTTCAATGGCGCTTAATAAAATAGGATAAATTTGGCAATTTTAATTTATTAATTTGACATGATTAAGGATGGCCTGTCAGGATTCTTTCTATGGCTCGTCAGCAGCGCCACAATTGAGCCGTAATGGGTTAAGAAGGGAAAAGGCAGCAACGCGGCCATATCGAGACGATAATCGGTGGTGCAGTTGTCAAAATCGGAAATTAAAGTGGGGAAAAGAGTTGGTGAAAATCCATTTTGCAAACTTTAGCAATTTTCCCATTGCGGCTTCCTTGTTCCTCATTCAATAACGGCCCATTATGGGAAAAGCTGCGATGCAACTGACCAGAAAAGAGCTCTTTGTCTTGCTCACTCTGGTCACTTCCGTGTGGGCGCAACTTCTCGCCATTTTCATCCCAGGGTAATTCGATAAAAATGTTTTCCACCTCATTCCGCTCGGCGCTGAAGCAACATTAATGCTGTGTTGTAAATCGAATGGACGTGTCTCTCAATTCCTGTGCAAAAATTAATACTCTTCTGCTCAATGTAATTCACATTATGTTTATTGAAAAATGTGTCAAAATAATGTTATTGTCAATGTTGAAACTGATTTAAAATTCAGGTTGATTAATTATCATTCTGAGAATTGAATGAAATTGAAAGCAATGCTATATTGAATTAGATATTAAACACATATTGAGTACAATTCAGAGTCAATAACATACGGAAAGCACGGCTAAAAATTTAATAACTTTAGAACTCGGCAAATATGCAATTATCCGCACATTTGTAGCGATGTTGCGATTGATTAAATAATTATCATAATGCCAATGAGGTCATCATTGGCATTTTAATTCACATTGATTGATTTTCACTGTTGTTGATTTTCCATTGGTGAAATTATTTAAAAAATCTATACACTCGATTGAGAACAAATTAGAAATAAAAACTATCTCAATTCTAACTTCAATTTCGGCACTTTTAGAACATTTTCAACTTCTTTGTCCAGCATTTCGTTGCACAGCGATGCATTGTACTCGGGAAAGTCCGGTGTGCAAATCTTGGCGTACTTTAAGAAGCTATCTTGAGTGAATTTCGACGCTATCATATTCATCTGGAAGGATATTTTCACAATTAACTCTGCTCTATTGGGCAAAATTTAACATTTACGCATTTACATCAAACGACTGCATTTTCCCCTGACGATCAAATTTCACTCCATATTCATTCTCAATTACATTTTCCTCAGTATTCCTAATCACCAAACCCATAATGATGAGGAAGAGCATGAAGCCAATCAATACAGCCAGAACAATTCCAATAGAAATGGCTAGAATTTTACACAATTTCCTAATCATCTTCACGCGGTTGAACTCCAAAGACAACTATTCTAATCGAGAGTTTCTCAATTTGCCATATTTCTGATGATACGTCTTGTTTACTCACCTGTTTTTCCTTGGGCCACTTTCGGCATTGAGATCTTTTAGTGTCATTTTCATTTCAATATTTGCCAACCGCACGTTTTGTACGCATTTCAGCCAGAATCGACTTATAAATTGAATATTTCCACATAACTTACTTTTCATCTCTCTGGAATTTGACTGCGCTCCTCTTGAAATTCTCATCGAGTCCATTTGCATTGAAATGGGAGAAATGCTGGAGATGATTTCAGTCAAACCACTCCTATGCCATTGTCCTGGAGAGTGTGTGTCCCTTTCAGTGTTGTTCTTATTGCTCACTCATAAATCATGCATATCTGACGATTGAGAATTCCTTCTATTACTAAATTCTCTTGGTCCGAAGCATGCATTCTTGTGCATTTCTTCACACTTCTTTGACTCTGCTGAGCTCTTGCACCACTTCTGGCCATATTATCACATCTCCTCCTTGGTGGATCGTGGAATCGCACAAAATTGATTTTTCACTTAAAACATCATATATTTTGCAGCACATCTTCCAGAGGAAGTCACGAATTCAGAATTTTCTTCGCAATCTTCAAGTAAATTCACCTTTCCTATGCATTGGATGATTTCCCTCAGATGGAAGAGTAAAAGACAGTCTGATTTTTGAATGTGTGTTCTTTTTATTACATATTCATTGAGACTATTTCTTCCTCTCTCACAATTTCGCTCGCTTTATCAAAATCAAACAAATTATGACGAATATAGAGTTTATACAAATAAAATTTTGGTGTTAAAAATAGCAATTAAGTGAACAATATGCTGTGGAATGGAAAGAGGTGTTTGTTTGAAAAAAAAAAGAACAAATTTATGATTCGCACAAATATCAATTGTTGTGAATTCGATGCATATTTTGGGGGTTGAAATGTGTGTGTAATTTGGCACTTTTCCCACCCCAAAAAGCCCACCTGCCGATGACAATATTGCACTCTCTCTGAGGCGAGGGTAATGAAAAATGAATAATTTCAGCATAACAACTATGGTAAATGAATATTTTAACAACCCACCCTCAGTGCACAATGGAAACAATTATTTCATTTATAGCGATGAACTTCAGGAGAGAGCTTATTATCATTTTCATTCCGTTACACTAACGATTTCAATGGAGTATTTACAATCACGAAATATATCGTACAATATATAAGTAAATTTCAATAATGATTTTTCATGATGCGCCTTGCAAAAAAAACCTCTTTGCAATTTCGCAACTCGTAACTCAGTTATTAAAACCATTTCCAAATTCATACCTTTTCAAAGCATTCATCAGATAAATGTCGATAAATGCTATTGAGACATCATCACATACAGTGCAGAGTCAGAATTGTTGGAACACTAAATGCTCACTGAAGCACAATCGCATGATGAGGAACGTTTATTGAAAATGGATATGATATTATTCTATAATTGAAGTTAACTTGCTTTCTTGGCCGACATTCGAAAAGAATTCATCAGTCTTTTCCTTGGAAGTTTTTTCGAATGTTCATTGATGTTTTTCTTTGCAATCCAAATAGTGCTCACAGATTTCTGATCCTCTTCTGTGCTGTGTGATTCCTTTTTGGCAATTTCCCAAAATGTTTGGGAAAATAACAACAGATTGGCAAACCACACGATAACTCTCGTGATAATTGAAATAATTACATTGGAAAGAATCAATAGTAAAATATCACGATGGCACACAGGAGTGAAATGAGGGCGGAGAGTGTGAATGATGTGCTGCGATTGAAAGTGTCACTGTTCGCGCATTTGTTGGATTCTGGTCCGTAATCCTCGCAGTGCATCTGGATTCGCGCACAGAGAAACAGAGGGAGTAAGTGGAAATCCCGCTGACGGAGAGGAAAGTTAGCAACTTACTGTCATGAGTGAGCTGGACATCTTGTCCAGGAAGCGCCGCGTGTAGTTGGCCGTCTCTTCGCCACAGGCCAGCCTCACCACTTGCTCGGAGCAGTCAATGTAGTCCTTGAATGCACAGCACACAGTTTTAATGCGCTCCATCTCGTACGAGTGCGCTCTGGTGAGGTTGTGGTCATCCGGAGTGGCGGACGTCTCACTGGGCTCAGGCACAATCTGCCCGATTCGTGACATTGTGGCCTGGTAAGTGGTGGAGCACGTCTCATACTGCCTCTTCACGAGCCTCATGCACGGAGCGTGTCGCAGGAAATCTGCATTCGGACAGAAAATCCTCATTACACGGTTTTCCCTCACTCAAACCCTTCAAGAGGGCCGGACAAAAGGCAATTTCAGTGAAAAGAGCAGAGCTTGGAGCGTATTGATAGAATTTAAACGTTTTTACATAATTCCTTGCATGAATTAAAATGTTTCTCTGAAATATAAATTGGATGTATAAATTTAAAATGTGGCGCCTTTTTTCTATAAAATATACTTCATTTAAATATTAATTAGTCTCATTTTTAACATATTTGGCTCCCTGAGAAAAATACTTTTACAAAATGTGTAAATTTGGGACGTTCTTTTTCTGCTTCCCACCATTTATCTGTATTTATACCTAAATGTTCTTCTCCGATTGCAATAAGTGGCAGAGTTTTGGAAAGATAGCTTCAACGTCAACATCTCTCCAGAACCTACCAACGTCTATAAATGATCGCAAGATTTGTCTAAATGTTTTTTACTAAAACACTCAAATTGGCACCATTTTGGATAGCGAAGAAAATACAACTGTCTTTCATCATTTCGGGTTTTTCTTGGTAAAGGACACAGATTTTTCTACGCAGTCTTTCAGCCTAAAGTCGTTGCAGAAAATGACCGCCAATATCTCACTGACTTCTGCCCACAAAATGCCTCACTTGCAGATTTACTGCGCCCTGGAATGGATTTTTACTGAAATACCTACGTGCCTTCCTGATTAGGTCCTTCCTCACACAATTCGTGTATCACTTGGCTGGTTCCGTGGTACAATTTATTGAAATGATCCCGTTGATAAATGCTCATGCAGCGCCTCGTGTAGCTCCTAATACAGTGTAGGCCAAAGTGTAGGTCTCTGCAAAGAGTTATGAAGTCAGTGCGTCAAATTGATATTTATTCCGTGCGAAATTGCTTCCTGCAAGTCCTCACTAATGTATTTATTTCTCTCATTTAAAAGTGACTGATGGTGTTGAGATATTAAGATGTATTTTGAGGATTACAGCCAAGTCGCGTGGCACATTAATAAGATTACATCAGTGAAAAGACGCACCTCGCGAGGGGATAATCATGTGTCAAATAGATTACAAGAGCCGCAACAAGTGAAAATTCTCAATGAGAATTCAAATAATAATCGCAAATTCATATCTTCAGAGTTAATCAACTTACTTAAGAATTTTTCCATCAATGCAAGAAACTTTAACCAAAACCATGAAGTTTTAAATCATTACAGTGATTATCCTTCCTTTGTTAATAATTTTGCAGATTTTTGACCTTCTTATCTTGCATTTAAATTTCCTCTTATATTTACCAAAAATATCTCCTAATTAGTATAAATTAATAGGAATTACCGGGAGTTGTGAAAAACGTATTGTTTTCCCCAAATGGTTGGCATGAAAATTGTGCGCACAAGAGTGGGATTAGTGGAAAAGACAGCGGAAAAGCTTCCATATTTTGTGTCGCAAGAAATTGAAATCGTAGCACAAGAGTCATGTTTGTGCGGGGCATCTTTAGAGGAGGATTCTGAGAATATCAGTCACCGCACAAATAAAGTGGAAAAACATTGAGACTGTACAAAGTAGGAGTTTATATAATAAATTGAGTGGATAAATGTGATTTATTTCCATTCAAATGTCATCTATTCACCGCCCCCCCTCCGAAAATCTCTTTTGCTCCATGACGACGATGGAATTGAATGATGCGGTTCTCAAGTCATTTTCCCTCTTGTTTATCCGTTTTTCCTTTCCCATTTGACTTTTTTTGCCATGTCCTCACATCTTTATCCCTCTCCCTTCGATGGAGAATCACACAGGAAGTGAATTAGTATTTCTTGCCTCGCCTTCTCCCAAGACGATATGATGAATACAACGGGTGATGATGAATTTCTTGCCATTTCTCATTCACGGACTCACTCTGGGAATTTATTCAAAGCCATGCAGTCGTTTCTGGCTAAATGGGAGTCAAATGAGATCCTGCCACAGCATTTCATTTGGGGGCCTGTTGCATGCCTAATTGGTGAGTTGCACAATTTATTTAATGTGAAAATCTCGTCATGTTACCACCAATTACATGAAGAGCTGCCCATAAATTATACATGACCAAACACTGGACCAAAATGTCGTACAGCACGTAGCATAATTGGCTATTTTACTCTCTGGAATCCTTGTTAAATTAACAAATTTTTCACCCACAATACATGCTGCATAAATGTTCGAAGCAAGCTTTCACAATATATAATTAAATTCCCTGGTTAATACATGATGAAAATTGGTCAAAGCGCTCACTTTCTTTTCAACACATCTTGATATAACTTTCCCATAGAGAGTCACTCAATTAATGGCAATTACGAACTACTTACGGGCAAAGTTTATCCAATTCCTCCTTGGTGGACACGAAGGACAACTCCGATGTGGCCGAGAGGACTTGAAGGGGTCTCGCGCACTGCACCAGCTCATCTTGACCACAATCCTCAGCCCTGACTTGGAGTGGGGGTGGAAAAATTAGTGCGGTCACTGCAAGAAGTGTTGGTGGAAACTTTTAAATGCAATTCCGTCGTGAGGATGAACAAAGTGATCACACTCTAAGTTCTATTTTCCATCTCAACACACACATACACACACCTATTAAAAGTAAAAGTTCCATTTGGAGATTTGATTAAGAGAGCTATACTTCTTCACTCGTATAATTGCCGTTGCACATGCACATCAAGTGTTGTGTTGGTTGAACTCTATCTAGAATTATAAAACAATTTATTTAGTTAAGAAACCGCTTCACAATGAAAGTTCACTGCATTCTGCAAATGCAACACTAATTCAATTGTTCAAATGAGTGGCTCATTTTGCTAGTTGACCAATTGAATGCAGTGAATAGGGCGGGGCTTGGAGAGGGGCGTGACTTGTGAAAAAAAATTACATTGGCCTAAATAGCTTTTTGTTATATTATCAACCGCACTTCCCAACACTTCTCATTGCATACAGACCAGTTTATTTTGTGCGATGATTAGACATGACATATTCAACAAGAAGCAAAAGCGTTCTGTAGCAGAGTACGAAAGTGGCGTTTGTGTGGTTTAACTTTGAATATTTATATTCACGCTCAACATGCACTTTTACAAAACCAGCCACAAACTTGATGTTTCTCCCGCCGTGAGGAGTTTGCCTCTTAACCACTTTATCCACCCACCAATTGCCGCCAATATTCTGCAAGTGGCACGATGTGGTTTTACGGCAGGCGCGCCGAGGGTGGGCGAAGCTATGATGCAAGAAGCTTCGCCCGAGAGAAACTATGGTAGTACTTTGGAATTAAGTTTGTTTAAAAATTCATTTGGCAAAGTAACATAAAGTGGTGGAGAGTAAAAAATGTCTCGCAAACGCTGTTGACGGGTTGAGAAAAACTGCCCAGAAAGCACATCAGCTTTCACTTGGCGATTGTGGGGTGAATGTAAATTACATGAGAAGAGCGAGGAAGAGTGTTGAGTTTATTTCACATTAGGGTGTAAGTGAAAAGGGAGGAATATTGAGCGCTTCCCATCCATTTATTGTGCACAAATTTATTATTATTTGAAATTAATTAAGTTCCCGCCTTTCATGGGACGTGCACAGGAGGAGAACAACTTCTTTGTTGGATTTTTATTAGTTCCACCACCATGAATGAGAGCATCCCCGCTATGAATATGAATGAGCCATGTGAGAGAGAGTGTGGAAAGTGAATTTTTATTCTATTTGCCGTGGAAGCTCATTTTCTGGCACACGCTGAGGTTTTCACAACTGAGAGAGCATATATAGAGGGACACACGGCTAAGCATAACAACAGAGCCACTACACAAGATGTGAAAGCATGAGTTTCCAACTCATAAGGAGGCCGCAACTGCGATGAAATGTGTGACCGAATACAATAAAAAGGAGAATTTTTTTTCCTTTCATTAACCCCACGACACCAAGGGCTCTTTTTCCCCACAACATCCTCGCGCCAATATGAGAATGCAGGAAAAGGGGATGAGCATGGCAGTAATTAAAGAAATGTCATTATTTGTTCGTTACTCTTCACAAATTGTGCACAATTCCTTTACACTCACACTCAAGGACAAACTTCCGCCTTGTGTTCCACAATCGCACTCTTCTGCACCCGCGAACTCGTGTGATAAAGCGCACGAGCACGACGGAAAAGTGATAAGGCTTGCGTTCCGCTTTTCAATTTTCCCGCCGCTCAGCACGGCGTTCCGCAGTTGACTGACTCGAAGTCCGTGGCAGAGTGCTTGCCACGCTCTATCTGGCCGTCCGTCGCCACTCTTCACCCCCAACTGTGGCGGACGAAAGCAAGCTCAGGGGCGGCCAAGCAATGCCACCGAAGTGTAGGCTTAAAGTGAAGATGTTTCCATGGCAATCAAGTATACTTATTATTGGCAAATTGGTGGTAAATTGTCTTACAAACAGTTTTCAGTTATACAATTAAATACAGAAATTATCTCGGAAATTCTAAAAAGAGGAAAGCCCGGAAAAATTTAAAAAAAATTTAAAATACATCATTGGAAGTTTTTACCGAGAGTAATTCTAAGAAGTGAGTTTTGTTGCAAAATATCACTTTGTATATTTAAATTCTAGTGAAATAGCTCTTCTCCCTGTCGATTTAAGATAGTTCTCACAAAAAATTATATAAGAATAAGTGCTATTATAAGAACAAATCAATATATGTCATTCACTTCAAATTGGCTAATGAATTTCTTTGAAATGTAATTCTGCTAATAGACATTTGAGCGTTTTATGATAATATATCCAACAGTGAGATCTTTGGGACATTGGCACAATTACTCAAGAGCCTCTGCGATACCCGAAGTATAATATCTCACAGCGACACAAACACAAGCAACAAGCGCTTGTGAATATCATCTGCATCCCTGTGCAGGATGTTGGCATCTTGTTTAAATGCCAAACGACTCTGCTCAAGAGATATGAATCCATTGTTTTGCCAGCGTCAGCACCCTTCGCCTCCCACTGACCTCTCATCGCTTTTTTCGCCACATCAGGTGAGCTCATGCTGGGCTGCAGAAAAATTAGCACCCTGTCAATGCAGTGACATATTTTCCAATTGCAAACTATCGATTTCACATTCTGCAAATTCCTGGAAAAATAAAGGGAAAATCGTGTGCACGGAAAATGCCATGAGAATAATTTGATATGGACATCTTAGCACCATTTGAAGAATTCGTAGAAACGGATATTTGCTAGTCAGACAGATAATTCCGCACAGTAATTAGTAATTGCGTCGGGAATGTCGACTGTGTGCTATCGAATTGCGCAAAAGACCCCACAAGGCAAGACTTTCCTTATCGCCACTTCGATCACATGGGATGAGCTGGCTAGATAATCCAGTAGGAAGTTAATCCAGGTGCCTTTGCCAGAACCGGCAGAAGGTCTTTGGCGGCTCAAGTCTAATCCTCTGACGCTCTGCATGTGAGTCTCGCTATCGCAGACCTTTCGAGGGCTTTTCAGTCACATTGACGTCACACTGATCGAGTGTCTGGAATTGCAATGACTTTCTCCGGTGACTTCTTGACCTCTGCAGCTGGCAATAAGCACATCCGAGATCGTCCGCAATTAATTGAGTCAGCACAGAGATAGAGTGAAATTAAATTTTCGTACTCCCACCTCGTCTCGTCCCGTGCGATTTATAATTGTGCTCACTTATTCATCCACCGAGTCATCCTGAATCAATTGGAATAGTTCACCAGAACCATTGAAATTTCCACTTCCTCTCTGAGCAATTTCAAACAAATTAAACTGGAATTATTATAAACTTTTTTAATTGTTGCTCGCTTAAAGATTGAATTGAACCACACACAATTTTAGGTTCAGATTCAGTGAGATTTCCCATTCAAACCCTGGGCAGATTCCAATTGAGCTCTTGCCCAGCCATCAATCACTTAGCGGAAATTGGCAGAAGATTCTGATTTTCCAATTCACCCTCCAGCTTGGAGGGGAAATTCTATTTACATTTGAAATTTTGTTTTGTCTCCTTTTTTTCAAAATCAAACTTCACCAACACCGTATTTGAACACACTTTATTTATCTTTCATTGTCCACACGATATCGAGAGTGGACAATGTGAGCGAAGCTCCACTGCAAATGTACTCGTTCCAGAACAATTCTCAGGTAAAAAGGATGGACAGTATGATGTAATGGAAGCAATTACTAGTGTCCCTTAAGGGTGAACAAGATTCCCTATTGCTTAAGAGGAGCCACATGTTGATCGAAATAATTGACGAATGTCAATGCAATGTTACAACTATTCATTACAACAAATTGAAAAAATATAGATTGAAACATGGTGAAGCTTGCTGTTGATCAACAAAATTCAAAAATATTTTTATATAAATGGTTTATTTGTCGCTTGATGTACAAATGATAAAAAAGACGCGAAACACTATTGTTAAGATTTCACGGAAATCCTACGAAATCTGTGATGATTTTATAAGCAAAATTATACTTCCTGCTTCACATTAAGTCTTTTTGAACAATGTTCGCCTTAACGCGTCAAGAATGAGAAAAGTGTTTAAGGTGAAGCTCAACATTTGTCAACTGTGTCACAAGACACACGATGCAATAAGAGCAAAATTCCCTGGTGAGCTCCGAGTGTTGAGAATCCATTTGATTTTCCTCTGCTAAGAGATTGAAAATTTATTTCCTCTCACTCTGAGATTTTGATAATCTTGCGTGAAGTTTCACATATAAACACACATAAATCATCACTCCTCTCGATATCCTCCAATGGATTGCGCGCCAGCATCCTTTCGCCCTTCGCACGGCCTCTTTCTGGGCCTGCGAAGCGCTCCTTGTGTTATTTTCCGTTGTGTCACACTTTGAAATCTTTATCGCTTCGCTGGGGAATCTCAGGAGATCAATTTGGATGTCGGCGGAAATATGGCACGTGGGAGAAGCCAATTGTCCCCAAAAGGAGGGCGGGACGGAAGAAAGCCTCAAAACCATTTGTTTTCCACAAAAAATCTCTCTTTGAGATTTCATAGCGACAGCATGAGAAAATAATACGATAAATTTTGCAAATAACTTTAAGTGATATCACATATTGATAGAGGCAATTTGGAGAGCAGCAATTGTACAGCAAATTCGCCGTGCGCTCACAATTCACCCACCATTCTTCATCAGACGATGCGGGAGTTCATTTTGCAAAAATTTATGTCTCATCCCTTATTCACGCTGTGCAATTTGATCACTGCAAAAGTTGTTGCAAGTTCAACTTTGTTAACTTTAAATCATTTCGTATGTTTCTCCAGCACACCTTTTCTTACTCCTTCTCTGGCATACATATATAACCATGCAATGCACTCTGAATTATTGCACTTCCTGCCGCCTTCCGTAACGAAGAAATATTTCAGGGTGCGAAATATTTTTGAGATGCAAATAGAGGCTCGGAGAGTGAGGTGAATAAATTGAAAAAACACACACACACACAGAGAAAATAAATCGACGGAGATTTTCCGGGTGGGGAAAAATGTGAAAGATTACCATTTGCTATATATGCTGTGCAATTTGACGGCAATAAAACTTAAATATATTGTTTGCAGAGAGGAAAGTCGATCTATAAACAATACAATGAGAGGATATGAATCAGAGATATTGAATAAAAACATAAATCCAATTGAGATATTGATAAAGAAAACTTCTATTATGCATTCAATCAATTGAATTCTGAAATGTGCAGGCAATTCATCCTCAACGAATTCATGCTATTTACTCGACGCAAAGTCAAGAGTGAAGAAAGTGGCTTTTGTCACAAATCAAATGAGACTTCATAAGATCAGATTCAAAATTGGCATAAAATAATTTCATTGTTGAAAGAAAAAAAAAGTCTGCTGAACAAAAAAAAAGTGTTTTCACCCAAAAACAACGAATGAATTCCATGGAATGTCAATGGAGGAAGAGTTGGATGGAGCAAGAGCTTTTGTGAGCGATAAAAAAGTTGTATATCGATTTTTATGGACGTTTTATTAAATTGAGGTGAGATTACTGGTGAAACATTATGTCGACATTTCGATCTGAAATGTGAGATGATTTATACTTTTCGTACCTGGTTTCATCTCCTCTTCACTCACACCCGAGGACGTGTAAATAGCTTCAATCTCCCCAAACTCCCCGACGAAGACACCCTCCTGTTGCTTAGGTCGGGGTGCGAAGGAGGGCGCAGAGGAATTCAATTTCCGCGTGCAATATTAAAAATTAGATTAACACTAATTTCCTTATTTGTTCTTATTTCGGCCGCGAGGCCGTTTTGCGGGGCTGATGATTAATATGATTTCACTTTTTAAAATTACCACTCTCTCGCTCACCATTTGTTATCTACCTCCCTCCCCCACTCCACCCACTAGAGGGATGTTTTGAGTCCAATTGAGGAACTAACGCAAATAGAAGCATTTTTCCGGCGCTGTCGGAATGATGATAGATCAGAATCCATGCGGCGAAATGGTCGTGATAGAAATGCGAGCGTCTCATTAATGATTCAGCCAACGATTCAAATCGTCCAAATTGTATTCAGGTCGTGTGAACGCGCTTCGGATGGACAAAATGAATGTTGTGTTTAATTTCAAAAACAACATCCAATATTGTGATGATGTATAAATTATTTCAATTGAACTCTCACAGAATAATTCCCATATAAACTCACGCACATTTATATTCCACTCCCTAAAATGTGTATAATGCACTCTGTGATGTTCTGTATGGTCATCGCAAATTTGCAGCAAACGCATTTTAATATGGTGGAAATTTCGCATCTCATTGTTTCCTTTCTCTTCTTTGCAATCACTAAATGTCATGCCAAATGCTCAGTTGTTATCCACACATGTGAGATTCACATCAAATGCATTTGTGATTTTCGATTACATTTGCTCTGAATGGCATTTGAAACTGTTGAAATTACAACCCATTATGGTGGTAATTAAAATTGTAATTAATTTATAGGTACCATCAGGAAACCACTTAGAAAACTCAATCAAAGCTCTTGGGCTCCATCAATGCAATTATATGCGATGCTCTATTGAAACTTGCAGTCGAAACTTCATCGCTTTCGGCCCAATAAATTCATGCTATTGCAAAGCACTTCACGCTCTGCGAATTTCAAAGAACTGAGGGCGAAAAATCCACACGTTATGTTTCTAAAATGATAGATAATAATTTACGTTTTATCCCAATGGGTCTGTAAAGCGTTGTGTGTAAAGTTTTCCAATAAAAGCCCTTTGAATTTGCTAGACTGACCAGATCGTTCGGAAGAAATTCACATCCACCTCGGTGTTAATTTGAGATCTAATATACAAACAGTCAGGAAGGGGTGTGCAGATTTCAGCCACATTGTCTCCTCCTTGTTTCAACCCTTCACACTTCCACTCTGCATTGAGTGTCTCGTGAGATTTATGTCGCACACTTGTTCAAGATAGAGCATATAAAGGCGAATGTTAGTCACCAATAAATTCCCCACATCACCTTATCTTCAATCTTCAATATCCACCTTGACACAACTCTGAGCGTAGCGCTTGATCCCTGACCGGATGTCCGGAAGTGTGATTTACACCTGATGAAAAACTCGTGCACGGGGATCTTCTTTATTATCACCACATCCGCGCTCAATTCGCCCGGCATTCAGGGAAAGTCACAAAAAATCCGGCCCCAAATCACTCCTGCCACCCGACGAAAAACTCACGGCGGTGCCGTTTTGCGTGTGTTTAGCGAAATTAGTCGTATTTTGTAATGCTAATCCTCAAAGGAGGAGCGCAGGAGTTTGACCCAATCCACCCTATTACAATATGAAACTCCCATCATTCGCGGAGATTAACCATTATGTGAAAACGTGAGTGGATTCGCCAAATAGGAAGCGATCCGACTCAACTTCCTGCTCGATGAGAGGCTACATTTATATGTGGCTTTTCACTGTGTTTTCCCACATGAAGCACACTCAGACAAATGTAAAACGCAAATGGATGCGAAGGGATCAACGAAAAGCTTTGTTGTGAATTGAAAATAAAGGATTTCTTTTCACCGGATCAAGTGATAGGAGAGTGTAGGGCATAATTAAGACAATTGTCACAAGGCGTGTCATACATTTTATACAGACAAATCACTAACACACGTGACATGTCATAGGAAAATCAGTGATTGTTCTACGATTTTGAGAAGAAAGAACTATTTGCTGCCGATGCGCAGATTCCTCCGAGTGCAGCTATATCATCCGGTCGGAACGGTGTGAACATGTGTGGCGAAGAATGCGGAGTCGGGCAGCGAATGGGGACAAGATCTCGGCACACATGTTGATATGGGTCACAGTGGAGTCCTCCTTCGCCATCCCCCTGGATTGTGTGTTTTGTCTCATGCCCGCTTTTTCACCGCGGCCACTCAGAAAGCCCAGGACGGAGTCGTCGATGGCAGTGAGCGACAAATGAAGAGTTTTCCACTGTGACAGGCACACATTTGTGATTTTCCACCCACACGGTGGACAAATGACCACACACCGAAGGTTCCGCAAACAAAGTGCGTGCGGAATAAGTTACTCAACAGCCACAGATGCTAAATTAATAATGAGTTGGGCCTGTAGAGTTTTGCTAATCCGACAGGAGTCCCTTTTCGCGTTGACAGGAGACAAGTAAAAACCCAGGAAGGCCATCAGCCCTTCGGACCAGAAGTAAATTAAATTAAATTCAGCATGACTAAACTGAAAAAAACGGCAGGTAACGCACTGGGAGTCCAACTGAAAAACGTCAAACAAATTGCGTTAAACCGCTCGCAAAAGTAGCCCAAATCCTCTATTCAACCCACTTTTTTGCACACGCACACACACTTCAACTGAAAATTCGCAAATTCCGGGATGTTGGCAAATCTAATTTGAAAACAGGATTATATATAGACAGATCATCGATGGAGTGAAGAGAATTTGGCGAATCACCAAAATTCTCGCGATTTTATACCCCGCCCACTTAAATTCTCCGCCCACATTTTAATATATTGTCTAAATGGGAAACAAGCAATATCTTTATTTCTACTGAATTAGAAAATGAGGTGAGCTTTAAATGAGAAAATGTGGTAAATTCATTACTATTGCGGAGAAATTTTCCGTCAGACTATTTCAACCCAAATAAACTGGCCAAAAAGAGTGTTTTTGGCCATAATACAGTAGAGAGAGAAGGGAAATTCCTGCACATGGAATTGTTTCGCAATGCAGAAAAGTTGCTTAAACGACATGTTCAATGTCGGGTTGAAGTTGGTTTGGTTGGGTGGAAAAAAAATTTGCATTTCACGCATTGCATTAGGTGTATTTAATTGGGAAAATTGTCAACGGGTTGTTCTGCAGAATTAAGAACGAAAGTCCTTTTCACATTTTGCATTTGATGAATTGCTGAGCATTGGATGAATTTCTCAGGACAGAGAATATGGCATTATTGGACATCGAGGAGTTACACAATCGACTTTACGTCTCTGTGATTGAGCTGAAAGTCAGAGGAGAGGAAAATGGATGGGCTTCAGAGGCGAGCATTGTGGATGAAGGCAATCGCCGTGGTATCGATTTATAAGTATTTGGCCTCTCTCTGTGTGCAATGGTGTACAAGAAAGTTTTCCACCCTCAGACACGGACGGACAGATCAATTTCCATTTTGTGATTGACAAAATCCCCGCCTCTTTGACTCGTTGTCGGTAAGAGATTTACCATCAAAAGTTCCTTGTCAATTCTCAGCCAAAGTTGCACTTTCACGAATACAATAAAGCGAAAAATGGACTTGCAAGAATTTCTTCTACTGTATCTTTTGGCAACTCAATTTGACCAATTTAATTAAATGCTCCCAACTCTAATATACACAGTTCCGTTGTGCTCTTTGACGGAACAGACGAAACATATTGACTGGGAAGCGATGAATTTGGTGAATTGCGATAATTAGATAAATAGATTAAATTGCATACTCTCAATGGAAAGTCGGAAAAGCCAATTTATTACAGTCGATGAAGCGTTACAGCCTGTTTGGCATTTGGAATATCCCTTCAAACAGGCGATAATTGCAGTGAATACTGAAAAAATATCAGAAAAAATATGTGAAATAATCTGAAGGTGAATTTTTAATCAGCTTCATCCATTTGGACGCATGCACATCGTGAAAATTTCCACATTTATTGGCTTTAGCAAAAAAATTGCCACATTCCAATTTATTTTATCAAAAATTGACAATTTGTCATACATTCTCAATTCACCGTGCAGTTTAATTGCTTAAAGTTGGCGATTTTTGTGCATTCACTTCAATCATGTTGAATTTCACTAATGATCTATGATAGATATGAAACACCAATGATGGTTCAATGCAGCCATTAAAGAATTTAATCACTTCATTTATATTGAGAACTTCACAAGGAATTTGAAGAATTCACAAAGATGAAATGAATTATGAAAAGAAAGGGTTTAGATAGAGATCTAAAAGATAAAAGCCACAATTTCCCTTATAAAATTATAGTTCAAAATTCTACCGCTGCCATAATTTTATGCAGCCGTTTTATAGCATTTAATCTGGCGCGAATTTCAGCGCGACAGTGCGCAATGAAACGCATTGTACAGTTTTAACCAAGATGTCAAGCCAAGAGGAATCCGACTGCCCTGTGTGTTTTAAGAAGTTTCCACAGTATAACATCGAGTCACACGTGAACAAGTGTCTCTTCCTGTCCACCGGCGACTCCCAGGAAGAGGCGGATAAGAAGAAATCTACTGCGAAGCGTCCTTTTCCCATTTTCGATCAGAGTCCATCGACCTCGAAGAAGCCCAAAGTCTCAGTTCCCGGAAGCTCTGGCAAGTCTCTGGATCTCAATGAGGATGTGATAGATCTGTCAGATGATGAGGAAGCCCAGAGTGGCCTAAAGGCGGTGGAAGTTGTTGCGAAGAGGGTGGATAATCCCGCGAAATCGTCAAAACCTCTGGCGGAGATCGTGCGGCCGGTGACACTGGAGGACTACATTGGTCAGGAGGCGGTGATGGGGAAACATGCAGTGGTGAGGAAGGCTCTGGAACGACAGGAGATTCCCAGCATGATTCTCTGGGGTCCGCCAGGGTGTGGAAAGGTGAGAGAATTTCACAATATTTCATCAATGTTTTATATGCATTTCATGCGACTCTTGCACTTCCAGACAACTCTGGCTCACATAATAGCACAGCAGTGCCAGACGTCCGGGCAGTTCAAGTTCGTGAAGCTGTCCGCCACCATGTCCGGCATCGCGGAGGTGAAGAAGGCTGTGGAGGCGGCGAAAACAGACCTGAAGTTTAAGAAGCGCACAATTCTGTTCATGGATGAGATTCACAGGTTCAATAAGCTGCAGCAGGACATCTTCCTGCCGCACGTGGAGAGTGGTGTGATCACCCTGATAGGTGCCACTACGGAGAATCCCTCGTTCAGCCTCAACTCCGCCCTGCTCAGTCGCTGCCGCGTGATCATCCTTGAAAAGCTGCCCACGGATGGCGTGCTGAAGATTCTAGAGCGCGGCCTCCGGGAGTATGACGGAGTGTGTTTGGACGATGTCCAGAGGGCGGGCTTCGCGGTGCGACTGGCCATTGACAGAGAGTCACTCGTGTGGCTGGCGGAGATGTGCGATGGAGACGCCAGGATCGCTCTGAACAGCCTCCAGTTGGCTGTCCAGACGCTCTCCGGCGCTGACGAGAAGGAGAACGGCAGCGATAGTCTGCGGGTGATTTCTCTGGATGCCATTCGGGAGGGCATTAAGAAATCCCACCTCTTGTACGATCGCAAGGGCGATCAGCATTACGACATCATCTCGGCACTCCACAAGTCCATCAGGGCATCTGATGACAACGCTGCGCTCTACTATTGCGTTCGAATGATGGCCGGCGGCGAGGATCCACGCTACATCTGCCGCCGAATGGTGCGGGCGGCGAGTGAGGACATTGGATTGGCGGATTCCAACGCCCTGCACGTGGCTCTGACGGCTCTGCAGGCCGTGGAGAAGATCGGGATGCCTGAGGCTGACTGCATCGTCGCGCAGTGCGCCGTCTATTTGGCCAGAGCGCCCAAGAGCCAGGAAGTCTATCGGGCGATGTTGAAATGTCGCTCGGAGGACATTACGAACTGGCGAGGGGCGCTGCCCGCCGTGCCGCTACATCTCCGCAACGCACCCACGAAGCTGATGAAGGAGATGGGCTGCGCGAAGGGCTACAATATGAAGCACAAGGACCAGTCTGGCCTTCAGTATATGCCCGAGGGGATGGAGAAGAGGAATTATTTCTCATAGAAGTCGCCCGGAAATAAAGATTTCATCTTTCGTACAAAAAAATATCCATTTTATTGATCTCTGATCTGTGCATTAAAAGTTCCGGAACATGCTGCAAAGGAGATAAATGAACAATTAGCCACACAATGCATGGAAAATCATATAGAATGTTGTTATTTTGGCTCAGATTTGAACAAATTTTATGCGAATCACGGATTATCATCGTTCCGAACAATCATCATTGAGAGGATTGAGAGCATTTCGGCATCTCTTTCAAATAAAACTACTGACCTGAATATCATTAGACGGCGCCGTCCGGAAAGGTCTTGTCGGCTCTCAAATCAGCCAATGCTTCATGTCCAAGGAGTTCCCACTCATTTCAAGTGCCCTCAAGTCCCGGAATCACGCCAAAGCGACGCCTGGAAGTAAACACGTGGTCGATTAGGTTATGTTGATGAGCGTCTCGAGAAAAGCACTTTTCCGTGATTATTACATCAGTTGGTAGTGCATGTTGGGAATCATGTGGAGAAAAACTCCGTAATACGTAGGAAAATCATCATTTATGGTCTTAAAGTGGGAAAATGCCGCAGATCTACGGGGAAAACTTACCACTGTGAAAATCACGGTGATTCCCAAAGATAAAGTTGGAATTTCAGTTTTTTTAGACGCTGAGATATTTGTTGAAACTCTGAGAATCATTTTCCACACAAAAAACTAGGGAAAATCAACAGTATTTAGGCGGAAAATGCAAGAGACCTCCACACGTACTGACGACTTACTCTTGTCTGACACTCTGATATATCGCCGATGTTCTGACTAGTCTCCACGCATATTGTGATATTTGGAGACTTCATCCCCACTCTTCAGTCTGTCACTATTTGTTTTTTATCATCTGACATCTGATGTGTTATTGTCCGTGATTTTCAAGTTTTTCTATGGAAATTGTATGTTTTCCTCGTGAAATTCAACTGAAATGTTCTGCTCGTGGCTTCAGTGACTCCATTCAGGTGAAATTGTCGTGAAATAGAGGAAAATCATCTGGTAAATTGAGCAAATATATTTGGACAAACAAAGATGGACGCTCTGGCAAAGAGAGAAACTTTCCAGTACTTTGCATTCTATCCTTTGCAGAGGGTGTGGAAATGGCACCGGGAGCCAATACAAATGCACCCGGCGGTGGTCAGGGCAGCGCTAGACGCCAGACGGGCGCCGTGCCAAAGACAAAAACGCGAAAGAACTCGAGCGTGCCACAGGAAGTCGTCGTGCCCACGCGAAGAGATCTTCAGCAGCACTTGAATGTGAGTCTCACTGCACTTTCCCTCCCGACATGATCATCCTCGTGCTCTTGGCTGTCTTGCTGATTGCGCTGGCGCACTTTTCCAAGGTGTCGTCATCCTCTTGCTCGCTCAGGAATGTGAAACAGAGAGAGAGTGAGAGGGATTCTGTGTGGCCTATTTTTAGGCATCCAAGAGATATTTGCGGATTTCTCGAAATCTCTCAGTTTCATCTCGATCTTCCTGTGACTTGAGTGGTCAGAGTGCAAATTAAGAGCGTATTTTCTGTCTTTTGGCAGGATCTCGTGAACAATCTGCAGCATCAGCAGCCGGAGGAGAGTCTAATCAGAAGGAATCGCCGCACACCTGGCGAGGGCGGCTGCTTCGAATTGGGTGAGTGAGTCAGAATGGTAAAAATCCCCCTCGAGAGGACAGAAATAGATCAGCGACCTCACACTCTCGCGCATCTTCCTCGCAGAGAACATCTCACTTCAGGAGAACAGTCGCTTCATTCCTGTGCGCCCAATTCTGCGTCGAAATCTCCTGCACGATGATCTCAGCGATCCACTGAGCGGCGGCCACAGCTTGCCCAATCCGGCGACTATTGGCGTCGTCATTCCCACGACGCCCAACACAGTGAACGAAGTGCGCGCGGCGCCCGAAGGCATTCAGTCGCACCAGCGACACTCTGACGTGCCCACGAATCTGCCGCCACAGCGCCAGAACTCCGTGCGCGGTCAAATCGAAGAGCGCCTGACTCAGATTCAAGACTACATCCAGATCACGTCCGGCCTGATCAGCTCCATTCGCACAGACAAGGTGAGTCTCGCGGACGCGCGGAATCTGTACAGAGATTTGTGAACATTCTTGAAGTCAGGCGGCGAGACGATGGTGAATGTGGAGCAAACGGCCGATCCCATCGACTCCATCCAGTTGGAGACGATCGCCAACAGTGGCAGTGAATCAGAGGTGAAGACTCGGTGTTTGTCTCCTATCGCCTTGTGCCTAACAAAGTGCTTCCATGTGTCTTTTGGCCTCACACTGTTCACTAACAGCGCAAGATGTTCAATTTCAGAGTCCTTCAATCAGATTTGAGTGAAAAGTTGTGAGAAAATCCAAAATTTCCCACCTGGACTCGAGTTTCAATCAATTTCTTAGACTCTCAGAGCTTTCCTGAAGCTTCCAGAACAGCAACATGTGCAGTTTTGCATTGCTTACAAAACTGTGAATGGGTTTTGCAAAATTCCTTATATTTAATTGATTTGTATGTGCTAAGAAACTTCGATGGTGACACTCAGCTGAAGAATTTGCAGTATAATCGAGAAAATACGATAAACAGCAGGAAATTTCCCGCCCAAAAATTGTGTGTGTATAAATAGAATCCCGAATCTCACCCACTCAATCCGTGGCGTGAGCGCGTGAGGAGTGACCCAGAAATAGCATGTGATTCCCATGTCTTGCTGTTAATCATGTTTTTCGCACGCGGAGGTGTGTTTTATCGGCGTCTCTTCTCTCTTGCAGATCAACGGTCCGCGGCCGCAGTCTGTGCAATCGATTCACTCCAGCACGCCGGACACGCCGACCATTGAGGACCTGCAGCAGCGCCTAAGCTCGTCAGGTCGCAACATGCAGAATATCAAGGAGCAACAGCAGCAGCTTCTGCGGCTTCAGCAGGCGGCCAAGCAGCAACTACAGGAGATGGAGCACGTGAGAAATCAAAATCCAACGTCGCACAGCCTCGGCCAGGCGGCGCCGCCACCGAACTATGACACAGTGGAGGCGGTGCGCGAGGACGTAGCGAGCCTGATGGCCAGGATGCAGGCGCTGACGAGCTTCATTCATGGACAGAACGACATGGCGTCGCTGCTGGGCGAGGACGCGGCCGTGGCGATGGCCGAGCAGACGATGCTGCAGAAGAAGCTGCAGGAGCTGAAGGACAGGAAGTCGCAGATGGAGCAGCTGGTGAGTGAGCTGCAGAACATGAATGTGGAGGCGGACAGAGCCTTCGCCGAAGGACAGCAGAATGACGTGGCGCGAGAGAGAATTGTGCCGATTGAGCTGCTCAATGCGCCGGCGGCGGCTCTGCAGCCGAGCATGTCCAGTGACATTGAATCGGAGACGGAGAACGCCGAGCTGGATGGGCTGTCGGAGGCGGAGGCGGGCAGTGAGATTGGGGAGAAGATAGCGGAAATCAATGCGATGAAGGATCAACTGTCGCGCCTCAAGGACATGATGGAGACGGTGAAATTGATCGAGATGAAGACGGGCGGCGCCGGCGGCGAGGATATTGAGGAGGAAAAGCCCGAAGAGACGCCCGAGCAGCTCAACAATCTGTCCGGGAGTCAACCGGCGGCGGCCAAAGTGAGCAATGCGGAGTTTGACAGGCCGCAACGCGATGAGAGTGTGCTGAGTGATCGCGTGCAGGCGCTGCACGCTATGACGCAGGATCTGCGCGCTCAGGCGCTTTCGCTGGTATCGGAGAGGGAGCGCCTGAAGACGATCAAGGACGAGATGGAGCGTCGGCGCGACGAGATGCTGGAGAAGACGTCCAATCAGAGTGGCAGCACGATCAGGGAAGTGACGCCGGGGCCGCAGGAGCGCGAACAGCAGCGCCTGAAGGAGGAGTATGAGGCAAAGAAGAAGGAGTTTGAGAAGATTATGGAGTCTCTGAGCGCCAATCCGCAGCCTGTCCAGCCGCCGCCACCTCCGCGGACGGGCTCTGTGCGTCCGTGCGGCGCGTGCTCGAAGCAAATGTCTACAGAGTCCACGGACAGCACGATGCCCATGGACGCGGCCAGCCTCAAGTCGGGCAGCACGAAGAGTCTGCAGCAGATCGGGATGGATCGTAGTGCCGCGAGTGGCGCCAGTGGCAGTGCATGGAGAAAGACGTCACGGGAGAATGTGGAAATGTCGCCGGGAAATGCCACGCCGCATCCGCTGTCGCTGCCCACGAACCACTTCTCGCCTTGCAACTCTTTCTACGCCGGCCCGGCGCAGAACTTCAGCCACACCGGCTGCAGCGTGGACCACCAGAGTCCGCAGTGTCACCTGCATCACCTGGCCAGCGAGCCGGCGCCCTTCTACGCGTGTCCGAGCGGGCGCGGCGACTCGCTGCTGCTGCAGCAATTCATCCAGACGCAGCAGATGCTGATCAACTCCGTATCGCAGTGCAATCAGCTGCTGTGGCAGCAGCAGCGCGAGCTCAACAACCTGAACAATGCTGTACTGCTGCTGCAGGAGCGCCTGCTGAAGCAGGACGCCCACGAGGGTGCCTTGCCAGCGATGAGGGCGGAATCTGTGCCGCCAAATATCGCCACGTCGGCTGGCAGTCAGATGTCGTCCTTCCTGCAGCGCGCGCAGTCTGAGCAGCCCTCTTTCTACGCTGGTGGCCAGAATCAGTTCCCACCTCCGCTGTCGCCCGTGCGCATCTATCCCAACTACCAGAACCAGGTGAGAAATTTGGTGAAACGTAGCTTCTAACTCTTGGCTAATGGTGAAGTCTGCTTTTTTGCAGGTGATGCGGAGCCAAGCGAACGGCAGCGGCAGCAACAATGTGGTGAACAATCGCGTGGCGCGCGTGGCCGGAAATGTGCAGCAACAGAGTCCGGCGAACGGATGGACGAGTGATTTTGGCAATCTCAATCCCTTCAGCAGTGCCAGCAATGCGAGTCAAGGCAATCAGCAGCCCGTGCTGCTGAACAACAATCCCAATTCGCTGCTCAATGCGCAATCCTCATCGACGCCCATCTTCATTCACCACAACAACAACACGAGCGCCGGCAACACGGCCAATCTGCACCAGAATACCGCCGTGAACACAGCGTTTGCCACGCACGTTCCGCCGCCGGCGCTCAACAATCAAGTGGCGCCAGGCAATCGCGCCAACAATTATTGGGACAACTTCCGAAGGTAATTCGCGGCGTGCAGCCTCACAAGTTCTTTTTTTTAAGTTATCCGAGCGACAGATTAGGTGTTTTTCTTTATTATCGTTTTCACCCGGAGAGAGAATCGGAAATTGAGTTGATTAAGAGTGTTTCGACAGCGGAAGAGATTTGGCCGCGTGGTAAGCAAGGCATTTGTGGTTCTGTTGATGGCTTTGAGTGACTAAAATAGCGATGATATTTCAGCGATCTTTGCAAAAGTGCTACATTTTCCTCTCACTTTCCATTTGGCGTGTGCTGTTGTTGTGTGTTTTTTTTTACTGGCTGTGCAAAAGACCCACATTTTACACACTCTCAGGAGATTGAAGAAAGAAAACAGGAGTGGAACAGGGAGTGAAGAAAGGGGGATAAGCGTGCTAATTGGACTGTAAATAGGCAGAGAAGAAGAGAAAAGACATTTGGGGACTCATTCGTTCAATCAGCAGAGTGATGAGCAGCGTAGTTTTTCCGGGGGTTTCAAAGTTCCCCAAGAAGCGGCTGAAGATCAATTCAATCGTAATAACACAGGGACACGATGAGAAATCTTAAGTGAATTCCACACGCAAAGCTTAATGAAATATAACTCAATTTTCCACAATCACATTGAAGAGTCAAACAAAAAGACTAATTCTAGATGAGGATCAGTGGCGTAGGAAGGACGGAATCTGTTTAACACACTTAATTGGTTTTAAAAGGAATTATGAGAAAAAAATGCTAATGACATGAAAATTATTATAAAAAAAAGAAGCAAAAAACAGGCCAAGATAATCAAAAAATGAGAAGACACTTAAAGCGATCATTCATGTGATAATTACAGATAATATCAAGTGTATTTACTACGCCACTGAGTTAGAGTCTGTAGGAGTTTTTTTTCTTCCCTAGCTTCCTAATTGGATTAATTTCAATGTTACAATGCGTTGTTTCTGTCTCTTGTCTCTGGCGGCTGAGAAAGTGTCTCTGGGCTTGACGCTCTCTTTTCCTCTTCTCTTTTCCACAGCTACTCACGGCAGAATTTACTGTCGGGCAACAGTTGCAAGAGCAATGAGGATTCCTGCTCATCGTCGTCATCCAATTTTCCCTTCAACACTGACTATCGCGCGCCGAACTTCCGCAATCCGGCAAACAATTTGCCCGTGCTGGAGAACAAATTCGATCACCATCGCTTCCGCAATGAGGTGAATCAGGTGAATTGTGTGCCGCCTCACGAGGTGCCACTGGAGCCACCGGAGATGCCATTGATGCCCGGCGTTGAGATGAATCCGCTAGACGTGCTGGGCTTTCACACGAATCCCATCAATTTGGGCGTGAGTGAGTTCAGCGCCAAGTCGAAGACGCAAGCGAAGGGAAATGGCAACAAGAAGCGCTCGCGACGGCCAACAGATCGCAACATCCTCGCACCGAATCCCGATAGTGTGGCTGGCGATGATCGCAATCTTGCCAGCGCATCGTCGGGCAGGAATACAAAGTCCACGTCGAAGTTCTTCGAGGAGCTGAAGGAGAATGTGTATATGGAAGTGTCGGCACTGATTGCGGCCAATGAACTGCGGCCATACTTCCTCATTCAACTGTTCCGCGATTTGCAGCTGATGTCGTCGGATCCCATGCGCCAGCAGACGCTGCAATCAATCCAGGACTTGTACAACAGATATGTGGAGTCGACAATTCACGAGGAGGCGGAGGCCTATGGCTCATCGGCGGCCACAAATGCCGCCGAGAGTGAGAGTGTGGCCAATCAGCCGCCAGAGGAGCAACAGCCAGAGGCTGGAACGGGACATTTTGACTTCCAGTCATCCACTCAAAGCACACCAGCCGTGAGTAATCGTGTGTGCAAAGAACTTGAGAATATGATAATGAATTCTTTCTTGTGCTTTGCAGCGCTCTGCCGACAATCCTGTTCAGCCTGACTACGATATGTTGCGAATTGTGGCGCAGGAGGTGTCCGAATTCCTGCAGACGGTGGAGATTGTGAATGAGGCGGCGCTGCAGCGCATTGGCACCATTGTCCTCACGCACCTCAACAACACCATCAATGAGAAGCTCACGCTCAGCAAGTACTACATCAATCAGGAGGACTTCATGCGTCACTTGTCCGCGTGCAGTCGGTCGGGTGGCAAGGAGGAGCTGCTGGTGAGCATCGAGAGCTACCTCACGGATCTCGTGGTGCCTCAGGGCGGTCAGGAGGATGCCTCGGAGTGCGTCGAGGGCGCCGTTGGGGGCGAAATGGAGGGCTACCTGCAGATTTCCGCGGCTCAAAGCCGCCCTGAGGATGATCTCGTGCACGTGACGGCCATGTTCAGTGGCATCCCGTGCAATGGCGACCTGGCGGAGGCGGACCAGGTGTGCAGCAGCGAGAGTCTGTACGAGGAGGAAGTGTACACGAGCCAGCCGGCGACGCAACAAGGCGAGCCGCGACGCGAGGTGAGTGGCAAGAGAAGAGTGTTGAGCCGAGACGGAGGACTAGTGTGTGTCTCTGTGTTGCAGGAGGAGGGCGTCTGGATCTCTGACGAGGAGGTGGAAATCATCTCCACGAACGGCAACTCGTCGTCCAATGGGACCGAAGGCAAGCCGTGAATCTCTCTTATCCGATAAGACACACTCTTGATAGATTCAATTATAGAAATAATATGGCATTTAACTTTTTCCCCACTTCCGCAACTTGTCCGAAATTAGCCAAGTAGATGTGAATAAAATTAGCAGTGTTTTCATGCAATCGAATCTTATTGCAACTCAGCTGATAAAGCCGCATTTCAGCAGCATGGCAACATCCACTCTTTGCGCTGCTGTGTTTCACTTCACCTGAATAAATCGGACGTGAGAGGAGAGAGAGGGAGTGGGAGTTTGCAGTGATTCTCAAGCAATTGTGCTTGATAAGGTTCAAATGCCACACAATAGAAGATTGAGGAGATTTGCAAACAGTGCAATATTATGCTTTATCAGTTAAAGCAACTTCCTCGTCGCACGTGAAAAAGCATTTTACGATGATTTACAGAGAATTCATTGTCACTTTACTTAGTTTTTCCAACTATAAAACACTTAAGAATTTCAAGGAGAATCGTAAAAAATATCACGATTTCGAATTTCGGACTTATAACTCCATCATTAATTCCATTCGATCTGCAATCTGTGAAAGAAACTTCCGTCCGACAACTTCTGATGCCCTTTGCATTGAAAATGCACCACAACTCTGGTCCTTGATTTGTGCTCTCTTCGAAGAAAATCCCTCGTCTTGCGCTTATCTCGAGACCATTCCTGCGGGCGGTCGTTTGAGAAGCACTGCCAGTGGGCAATAAACCTGCCCTACACGATCCAGTGCTGATACACCAGCAAAAATTGCCGTGTGCGACTCTCGAGGAGCGACTGTAAGGCCGAGACGGTGAGACCGAAGCCAGTGAAATCTCTTCAGTCGCTGCCGATCAGTCGTGAGCTGCGGAGCTGTCGTGTCTCACTGGTGCTCGTCTTTATCAGCAAAAACGAAATTGGAGAAACGCACCAAAAGTTTATTTCGTGGCGCAAGTGTTGAACAACTTCTGGAATACCTGGAGAGGTGATCTTCTGAGCAAATATTTAGGTGAGTGTTCAGTGGAGCTTCACTGGAAATATATTTGCAATGCTGATGATTGGCTGAGTGTATTTTCGTGGTATGCAAAAAATGTGTTGGAGAATGATTTTTGCCTCATCAAGCGCACACATTAAAGTGTGTCAAAATGATCTTGACCGATCTTCAGGCGAATTTTCCACACTTTTTTTGACTATCACGAGATAATTGAATGAATCCCTCGAAGTGTTATCTGATCAAATTGAAGTCAATTTGTGGAGGCACTCGATTAGGGCTTTAAGTCTGCTGTATTGCTGCGCGATAAGATACCAGTTGATCATCAATCAATCTTCCTCAGGTGCGATGTTTCTCGCCAAGCCGTTGCTCTTGCTGTCCCTGGTGGGCCTCGTGCGGCTGGCACCGTTCCAAGAGGGCAACTATGAGCTCATCATTCTGCACAACAACGACATGCACGCGCGCTTCGACCAAACTAATGCTCAGAGCAACGCGTGTCGGCAGCAGGAGGAGCTGGACTCCAAGTGCTACGGCGGCTTCGCTAGAGTCGCCACAATGTGAGTCACATACAGAGCCAAAGAGGCAATTAAGCACACGCGTGGCCAAATTCAATCTCGCCGCGAGTGTGAATTTTACCCTCAGAAAGCTCTCGATATTATTCAGAACCTGCATAGAAGCGGAGGCCATTCTTCAGAATGTGGGTGAACAGTGAGAGAAACTTCAATCAAGACACTCTGCGTTAACCCTTTCACGCCAATTGTGGTGTCGACGATCCATAGGAAAATTAATTATTTAGTTACATTTCTAATCACGCTGCGCTAATTTTCACTACAGAAATACTTACTTTATTTATTTATTGTGGATAGTTTCAAGGAAAAATACTCATTTGTCGTTTCACATAAGGATTATCAAAATTTTTCATCAATTTCCTTATAATTTGGGGATGCTAAGTGTGTTATCTCACTTGATCTCTTCCGCGTTAAAGTTACCGACATTTAACGAAAAGTAAGGGAGAAACAGTTAAAATCGACAGTCTAAGGACTAATTACATCCTGAAGCTGTTTTTAAAGCGTAATTCAAGATTGATCTTCTCATTGCAGAGTGCGAAAGTATCGCGCTGATAACAACAACGTCCTGTTCCTCAACGCCGGCGACACGTACACGGGAACTCCGTGGTTCACGCTCTACAATAACGTGATCTCGTCGGAGATGATGAACATCCTACATCCGGACGCAATTTCGCTAGGAAACCACGAGTTCGACAATGGTGTGGATGGATTGGTGCCATTCCTCAACAGCGTAGAATTTCCCGTCCTCGCGGCGAATCTGGACCTCTCGCAGGAGCCCACAATGGCCGCAGCGGCTTCGCTGAAGCCCTCGACTGTGTTCACAGTGGCTGGGCACAGAATCGGCGTGATTGGCTACCTCACGCCGGACACGAAGTTCCTCTCGGCCGCCAACAAGGTGGAGTACATCCCTGAGATCACGGCCATCAACCAGGAGGCGCAGAAGCTGCGCAGCGACGGCGTGGAGGTCATAATTGCCCTAGGCCACTCTGGCCTCACGCAGGATCGCGAAATTGCGCGCAATTGTCCAGATGTGGACATCGTCATTGGTGGGCATTCACACACCTTCCTCTACGCCGGCGATCATCCAGACATCGACGTGCCTGAGGACGTCTATCCGGTGGTTGTGACGCAGGCCAGCGGCAAGCAAGTGCCCGTCGTCCAGGCGTATGCCTACACAAAATACCTTGGCTACCTCAAGATCATGCTCAACGCCACGGGCAGCATCGTGGACTGGGACGGTCAGCCGATCCTCCTCGACTCCTCCGTGCCGCAGGACACGGACGTCCTGGCGGCGCTGCAGAAGTACCGCGCCGGCGTGGAGGAGTACGGAAGTCGCGTGGTTGGCGTGTCAAGAGTGGTTCTCGATGGCGCTTCGCGTTCCTGTCGCTTCCACGAGTGCAACATGGGCAATCTCATCACGGACGCCTTCGTGCACGCCAACGTCGTGAGCCACCCTAACAGCCACACCGCCTGGACGGACGCCAGCATTGGACTGTACCAGGGCGGCGGGATTCGGGCGCCGATTGATCCCACGGCCGCCGAGGGCAACATCACGCGACTCGAACTGGACAACGTCCTGCCCTTCGGCAACACACTGTACGTTGTGCCGGTGCCTGGAAGTGCTCTGAAGGAGGCTCTCGAGCACTCCGTGCATCGCTATGCAAACGACACCGGCTATGGCGAATTCCTGCAGATGTCCGGCATTCAAGTGGTCTTCGATCTTGACCAGGAGAGTGGATCGCGAGTGGAATCCGCGCAAGTGCTCTGCAACGAGTGCATTGTCCCCAAATACGAGCCTCTGGACAATTCGCGGACGTACAATGTAATCATGACGAACTTCATGAAGGACGGCGGCGATGGATATGCCATGTTTAAGGTAAGAATCCCTCTGACCGTGTGATGAACATGGGGACTGACTCTTTGGCTCTCTTTGCAGTCTCTGCCCATCGCAAAGACCCTTCCTGCCGGGGATATCAACAGCGTGGACACGTACATCGAAAGAATGAGCCCCATTTTCCCGGCTGTCGAGTGGAGGATCACAGTTAAGGGCTCCTCAGCCAGTCTGGCGAGCATCTCCGGAGTGCTGCTCCTCGTCATGTTAGTCATTCAAGTCCTTTCAAGGTGATCTCAAGCCGATGTAGGATAAAATCTGTAAATAAATCCAGTGCAAAGAAGGGCAGTGATAAGAAATTTCCGTTTGCATTTTTTGAGATTATCTACATAATCGACACCACATGAAGATTGGAAAAGTGAGTGGATTTCAGTGAGGCTTTCCCGACGGAAGTTTTCCAGGTGTGGGTCATCCGGCCAGGGGATTGGCATGGATGGTGACAGTGTTGATGCGCTTCTCGATCATCGGCCGGTAGGTTTTGGGATTGACTGGCAGCTTTTCCAGCTCGTCCAGCGCCTCAAAGCCGTCGATAACCTTCGCAAAGAGGGTGTACTTGAGGTCGAGGTGCGGATGGGCGGCGTAGGTGAAGAAGAACTGACTAGCATTAGTTCCCGGACCGCTGTTCGCCATTGATACCATTCCTCTCTCGCTGTGCTTCAGGCTGTCCTTGAGTTCGTCCTCGAATTTGCCGCCGTAAATCGACTCACCGCCCTTTCCCGTGCCCGTGGGATCGCCCGTCTGCACGATGAACCCCTTGATGTTCCGGTGAAAGAGACTGCCGTTGTAGTAGTCGCTGGCGCACAGGGCCAGGAAGTTCTCGCATGTCTTGGGGCAGTCCTCCACGAACAGCTCGATTTTGATGTCACCAACGTCCGTGTGGAGCGTCACCGACTGTTGGAGGGCCAGAGAAATTGTATTACATCGGCAAATTCACACATTTCCGCGCAAGAAAAACACGACTTACCATGTTTTGAAACTCTCTTTTCGACAGCGCGATTTGTCACCTCTTTTGGACAGATCTGAACGTAGCCGAAACATACTTGTTATGCGGTTTATGTCTCGGCTAACCGAAACATTGTACTCATTTTTTTTCTTTTCAAACAAGCAGAAAAAATCACTCAAGAAATGCCCTTAAAATCCGGAAAATCCTTTTTTCCTGATTAAATATGATTGAAGGATAAATACAAATACAGTTTTAAAATGTGTTAGCGTATATTTTCTAATTCGGAACTCATATAAAACATCAAAACGGACATCAATTTGAATTATGCTGCGCGCAATCTCGATATATCGTCAGAACGTCCGTGAAAACCTTTCAATTGTGTCCAGTCATCTGGTGAAGTGTGGTTATGTTTGGCCGGGAAATGAAAATCGTCAGACTATAGGAAATCAGTGAAAATACGCCAATATAAATAAGACAGAGCATAATGCAAAGGACGTTTTATGTATTGGACCAAAACAGTGCTGTGGATGTGTACATAATCAAGAGAAGGCGCGTCAGGAAATGTGCTGGAGAGAATCTACGGGAAAATGCATCCCAATTGCTCGAAGTTTCCACAGTTTTCCACGCAAATGGCTATGAAATTCACCACTTCCTGCTGTGCTTGGCCACAGGATGGCAATCAAGGGCGATCGTGAGTGGGAATTTGGATCGATTCAGCAGAGTTGTTGTCCAGGTCAAGGATCCGGCGAAGAACTTCATAGACTTCAGAGGCTGCCGGATCGCCTGTCAAATCGCGTGGGAGCGAGCAGAGCTGGATAACTTGCTGTCCTGGTTCTCCACTCTTGGCGGTGCCTTCTCATCTTTGGGGGATGATTTTGAGCATTGCGTAAGGATTAGAGACACTCTACAGAATTCCCAACTTTGTCTTCTTCTCGCTTCTCTTTCAGGCACACATCGCTGGCCAGATCTCCATGAAACAGCTCAAAATCGCCCTGAAACTCGGTGATCCGCACACGATAGCGCGCTGCAAGCTGTACTTCAGCATCTCCCTGATCCAGCGCGGACGTCTTCGGTCGGCGAAGTACCTCATCCGGGAGCAATACGCCTTCGCCATGTCATCACCACAGCCAGACGAGCGCCTGGTGAGGATGTGCCTAGGCATCTGGGCAAAGTTGCAGTACACTCACGCCCAGAGAGAAGTTTCAAAAGCAATAAAACACTAGTTTTGCCTCTAGAAAATCATCTCTTTCGCGCAGAAAGTGTGTGTGGAAAATTTGTGTTTTGCGTGTTATATGAGTAAATATGGCAAAAAATGCAGGGCAGCTGTGCTCATCTACTGGGCCAGCGTTCCCATGGGATCCCACGCGGGCAGCACGATGGGCTCCATCTCGAATACTTTCAGGACATCTGGCGGCACGATGGACTTGTCCACCACCACCTCGAAGACGAACTCCTTGAACCACGCCGCCGACATGACCAGGTAGCCCTTCTCGCCGCGATCATCGCCCCAGGAGTTCTCCACGCGGAACTTGGTCGAGACACCGGTGTCCTGGAAAGAGTGAAGTGTTGAGATATTGAGAGGAAACGCAGATTTGTAGGCATATTTTATACTCACATCGACAGAAACTCCGGTGAAAGTCATTGCGTGACTCATCGCGGACTCGCCGTACAACAGGCGATCGGCTTTGCTGAGTGTGACCTGGATGTCCACGCCGAAGACCACATTGAAGTCATGCCTGAAGGTCGGGAGGAAAGGAATTACAATCACATACACTTCTGCCAATCATTCACAACACTCACACTTCCAAGTCCTCGATGCCCTGCGCGCCGGCGAATCTCTTCGCCACCTCGCAGCCAAACCACACGGGCTCGCCGTTGCGGATGGTCTTGGTGACCAGGTCAATGAGCAGCTCCACGGGCTGATTGTTGTACAGCACCGGTCGACCGCCCACGACATTGCCCAGGCAATCCACCGTGTACACCTGGCCATAGGGATTCGTGGGGCGCGGATCCGTCACCAGACATACCTTGTCGTCCACATTGAAGATGGGCTTCACATGCTGCTCATAGAAGTCCAGCGAGCTGATGGGCCCCACCTTGTGGTACGCCTTGGTCTTGTCGTAGTACTCCCACGTGAAGCTGGCCGGCGGGATGCCCAGGCAGATGCCCACGACGTTGTAGATCTCTCGCATCTGCTGCTGGATCTTCTCGCGCACGTCCTTCTCGCTGCCCGACGCCTCCACGAGATCCCTGAGCTCCTTGGCGTACTGCCGGAGTTTGCTCTTGAGCACGCCATTCATCTTGCCACTCGCCTCGGCGCTGAAGCTCTCGGGGAAGCATTTCTTGGGCATCAGGCCGTACTTGTTGATGAGATTCGCCACCATGTCCCACTGGCCGCCGTCGCACGTGGGATCGGAGAGGAGGAAGGACACCACGCGACTGTTGACGTCCTCGCCGCGCCGCGCTGTGTCCACGATGTTGTTGAGGAAGTAGTTGCAGCGCTCGATCTTGTCCCAGTAGAAGAGGAAGCTGGGCGAGAACTCGAATTCGTCCAAATTCAAGTGCTTCATGAAGGGAATCCGGATGGTGTTGAGCGTGGCGAAGAGCCAGCATCTGCCGGAGTTCTTCTGGTTTGTCACCGGCTTCCCCTCATTCTCCACCTTGTGCGTGAACACGTGATTAATGTCCTCCAGGGCACGCCTGGACAGCGACACGTCAAAGGGATCGTGCCGGGAGCAGATGTTCTGGGCAAGGACATTCTTTGGACACTTGAAGAACTCATCGCGCCAGCCAGCACACGTCTCAGCCACGATTGGAACTGTAAGAGATGCAAGAGATAAACACCAGCTCAGCCAGATAAGTTGGGCAATGACAAAGAGCCTATTTGGAGTGATTTATTGGCCAGACAAAGTCCGGGAGTCTGAGCAAATGGGAACACTTCTATTTTTAGACCATTCTTTCACCCTACACATTATTCCACGCTGCAGATTTCTCCATCAACCACCAAAGAATTGCAATAAACTGTGAACTCAGCGGAAAATGCGGCCTTTATATAGGAAAACTGATGAAAAACATTACTTACTCGAACTCATCTTCTTTGACACTTCACGACGTTTGCCTTTTGACCGCAGTGCCACCTGCAGTCACAGTGGGAAGCACGCCTTTAAATACTCAACAGAAACTCACCCGGAAGGATTTCGTCCTCTACCACTTCGTACAGGTAGTTGCTGTCCTCCTCCACCTCTTCGTAGACTTTCTGGACTTGCTGAACATCCTGGGAAAAATCCTCCTCCACCGGAACGATATCTATGCAGTCAGTCTCTTCCGTGACGTCCAGTCTCTGTTTCTTGGCTGGTGATTCCTCAAGAATCTCCGCAGTTTCAGTCTCCAACACCTCCTCATCGTCCCCGTGTAGGAAGAGCGTGGGAACGGCTGTCTTCAGCAGTCTCTTGCAGTCCCCATTGAAGCACCAGCGCCCAAAGTGCTTCCGACAGATCCTGTAGCGGCTGTACACAACAGCTGACGGCATAATCTTCAGCTTGGGATTGTTTGTTGCCTCAATCCACTGTTTGTGACGGAAGGGCTCCTTCTCCGGATGAGGAAACAGATGGAATGAATACTCCCGGTTGGTTCTCATGGAACTCATGCATTTCTGCACACAACACGTCATATTTTTCACCCAATTCAGCAGAATGCTTCTATAACTCACGTCGGACACGATAAACTGGAACTCCACCGGGAAATTCACGAGGAAATGCGAGTTTTCCTGGCCAGAATATACCCTGAAATCTTCAGAATTTGACACTTGCTCTCGATATATATCAACCGATGCAAAACAATCCTGATCGATTATATCGGTTGAGATTTGGCGCGCTTGCGCTCCGCAATGTGGGCAAAAGGTTGTAGTGAAAGTGGAGAAAAGGATTTTTCACGCGAGGAAAAGCAATAAAAGTGGTGTGAAGCAATGGCAGAGGGTACGTATGAGTACGAGTGCATGAGGGCGGAGCTGTTGGGCGTTGATCCACCAGACAGGGAGACGTTTGAGGCCAACAGGAAGGCGCAATTGGAGGCGGAACAGGAAGCAATTGCCAGTGAACAAGCACAAGTGAGGAAATTCAAATGATTTCCCTATATAATTTGCGAGAGATTTTACATACTCAAATTGGCCAATTTGGACAGGAACTGGACTTTCAGGATGAACAGATCAAAGGTGGCCATGGGAAGATGGACGAGTTGAATAGCATTCTGTCGATGACACAGCAAAAGATTAACAAATTCAAGGTAAGTTCAAGGTAATACGCAATTAATTGCATCCTCTTGGGACTCACTGAAGAGCTTTTGTAGACTGTTTGCGGAAGTCTCACGAATCTGCTGAAGATTCGCCCAGGATCGGCGGCCGGAGAGGCTTCGGGCGAAGCCACTGGGGAGACATCTCAAGGTGACATCAACGACGCCCTCGACACTCTGGACACGATGAGGGACAACGCAGCAAAGACAGACACTCAGGAGATTCGCGAGACGTCTCTCAATATCCAGCAGAAGATGACCTCGCAATTTGGCGCCCTGGATTCGCTGCTGAACAAGGCCGAAACTGCCCAACTGTCGATGGAGCAGCAGAACAAGGAGATGAAAAAATTCCTGCGCTAACAACGAAAAATCTGCTTCGCGTCTTTGACGGATTCTTCTCAATCTATCCAGGTGATAAAAGGGATAATCAAGGGTGTTTATTTTACGTGGCATTTTTGCTTTATTCCGTCTTGTACAGAAAGAAATAAGAAAAAAAAGAATCTCGTGTGTATTTTTGCGCTTCCATTTGAATTCTCTTCTTATGCACTATATTGTGAAATTGTTGAGGCGCTATTAAAGAATCTCATGATATTTCCTTGTTAACGTTTCAAATGTAAATTTATCGTAATAATAAACTGGCTAAAGAACAGAAAAATTGTGTTACTTTTCGTGCAGAGCTGTTTTCAGAAATAAAAAATTAATTATCCCTGAACGGAAGCCAAAACGTGCTTCAAATGCGGTCTGTGTCTCGGCTAACCGAAAGCCGCCGTTACAGTTTTTCGTCGTTTGAATGGGAAATTCACCACTGACTGCAAATTCTATATTCACCATCCTTATCAAACTTAACGAAACCTGTCGTTCTGGGTGCTTTTTTCACGGATATTATGGTCGTGGACGCAAAAAATGCAATGTGTACGGTGATAAGGAAGGTCGGAGATTCCAGCTGAAGAAATATCTGGTGTGTAATGCGCTGACAAGGCAATTAAATAGCACACAAGCGGAAAAATGATGCGATAACCTCCTGACATTCCTGGAATTTCGCCACAGTGCACCTGTCAAATTGGAAAACATTGCATTACCTGTTGCTGGAAAAGTGCTTTTCCGGACTGATTTCTCGACAGGAAAGGCTGTAATAGGCAGTATTATCGTGCCATAGTGGGTGTAGTCAGCTGTGCTGAAGGAATACCTGGGAAATTGAGGCTAATAGTGTGTGAATTTAATAGTATTTGAAAGGTATACACATGTTTTTCACGTGCAATGGCCGCAAGGGCTAAACATTCATGCGTTGTCTCAATAAAAATACACACAAATTGATGTCATCACAATATTTTGCACAAAGATGTGATGCAATAGTGATTGATTGACGAGTAGAGCGAGCCTGAAAACATGATGTTTTCGCTGAGAAGGCTCAGTTTGCCTTTGTACATTGTGGCGAAGGGAAGTCTTTCCGGAAGCATTTCAACCATGAGGGAATTCATGAAGAGTGTCTCGGTGGAGAAGAAGCTATTGATTCACAGCAATAGGTGAGCTATCAGGCTTGCCGTGTGTTATGTGTGTTTTTTTTCCATTTTGTGGCTCCTCTAGAAGTGTGGTGAGATTCTGGGCTTCGGCATGAAGAGTAAATCTGTGTTTTGTCTGCAGCTTCAGCCGGATGGCCAAGTTGATAAATGGACTGCAGATTGCGAAGCAAATCCGCGAGGAGCTGCGATTGCAGGTGGAGGAGTGGATGCAGCAGGGCCACAGGCAGCCACAACTCACGGCTGTGCTGATTGGCGATGATCCCGCCAGCCAGACTTATGTGAAAAACAAGATGAAGGTAATTGTGACGCAGGCGACCCAGTTGAACTCCCCGATAAGCTCTCGCATTTCTCCCCAGGCAGCCGCCGAGGTGGGCATCAGCAGCAACACGATGAACCTCCCGGACACGATCAGCGAGGAGGAGCTGCTGAGTGTTATCGAGAAGCTGAACGAGAGCACGGAAGTGGATGGAATTCTCGTGCAATTGCCACTGCCGGGCCACATTCACGAGCGCCGCATCTGCAATGCCGTGAGTTGCGACAAGGATGTGGATGGTTTCAATGAGAAGAACGTGGGCCGCCTGTGTCTGGACATGAACACTCTCATTCCCTGCACGCCGCTCGGCGTACAGGAGTTGCTCAAGAGGACGGGAATCGAGACATTCGGACGCAATGCTGTGGTTGTGGGGCGCAGCAAGAACGTGGGCATGCCCATCTCCATGCTTCTGCACGCAGACGGACGCAATGACACCGACGCCATGGACGCCACCGTGACGATTTGCCACCGTTTCACGCCGCCTGAGGAGTTGGCGCGCTTCTGCCGGAGCGCAGACATCATTGTCAGCGCCACGGGTGTGCCGGGACTGATCAGGGCGGACATGGTGAAGCCTGGCGCGTGTGTGATTGACGTGGGCATCACAAGGATCAAGGACGAGATTACGGGGAAGACGCGCTTGGTGGGCGATGTGGACTTCGAGGAGGTGCAGAAAGTGGCCGGACACATTACGCCCGTTCCCGGCGGTGTGGGACCCATGACAGTGGCCATGCTCATGAAGAACACCATCATTGCAGCTAAGAATCTCGTGAGGAAGCGCCAGGCTGCCAAATAGAGCAGTATTTTGCGAAATAAAACAGTCTTCATGACCAGGAAATTCAATTGGTGACTTTTTTCTGGCAGATTTGGCTTAGCATGATCTGTTTGGTGATTGCTTATCAGGCCAACAAACTGACAAGATTAGTGTCCTACGGCTTCTCAGAATCGAATAAAGTCCAACGGAGAGGATTTGTTTACAGTGCAATTCTGCCTTAATCTCATCACGAAAGACGATAAAGCAAAATGTTTGTTTTATGAGCTTCAAATGGAAATAGTTGTGCGCAGTCACGTGAAGTTCCAATTAAAATAACATTGACACACAAAGCTCTGGGCTCGGGATGGAAAGAAAACGGCGTCTTTAACACTTAATATTACATATATTTTCGATATTTTATATCTTACAACATCATATAATGTTTCATGCATAGCATTGTTCCATGTATCTGATTTTATTTATTTTCATTTATATCCTTTCTCCTACTTTCCACATATAATTTCCTTGCAACTTTTTCTCTCTCTCTCTCTCTCCCTTTCTTTCCTCATCCAGTGAAAATATCTCTGCTGACAATTCACTTCTCGTTTATCTGTTCAACTTCTTTCTCCACTCAATCAACACAGGAAATCAACAACATTATGGGAGAGAAAAACTCCTCTAAGAGTCACTCAATTGAGTGATTTTACTTGGTTGTAAAATGGGAAGAGATGCTGGACAGGAAAGGAACATGCAGTCGAGGAATGACGGACGATGGAAGTGATCTTCATTTGATTTGTGTGGAAGAAAGCAAGAGACACAAACGAGGAACTTGATACACAGTATCAAACAATTTGAGGGCTTAACACTAAGAAATGTTATACACTTACTGTTCACATCAATGTCACGTCAATATTTTATGCTTCTTTTTTTCATGTGTGAATCTCATACAAGGAAAATCAACAAATTTTCTCTATTTATCCTTTCTCTGAGAGACATTTATAAGTAACATTATTGGAGTTTATCTATCAAGATCACATCTTGAATTTTCTCTTATACACTTTTTTTTCTTTGTTCTGGCCATTTAATCATTGATCATCGCCTTTGCGACATTCCTAAAGTCAAAAATTCTTCTACAAATTGTCTTAACATCATTTTTATATATATATATATATTCCATTTAAATACACAATCAACGGAAATGTTTTTTTTTGTTTTAAAAAGAATCAAATCATTGTCAACTTGACACTTAGGCTGACAGGATAAATTTAAATATACATCTTCAATTCATTCCATCTTTTTTTTGTGGGGAAAAAGCAGCATTTCAAACTGGGCTTCAATTTCAATAACTCTCTCTTTCTCCTCTTACGGATTCTGCCAACCTCCTGACTCACGTCCATCCCTTTTTTCCACTTTCCCTACACAATCAGTACAATAAATCTATCTAGAATAACAGTTAAAAATGTATATAAGTCAAAAGCTGCTGCACTTTTTTTATGTGTTAACTTTCTTTTATATCAGTGTTGGTTTTTCCTCTCTAAGTGGCATTTTTTTCTCTTTCTTTATCGAGAGTCCAAAGCAGAAAATCGGAAATTAAATTGAATTGGAAAAAATATGGAGAAAACATCTATTTAATAATTAATAAAAATTGTAAGAGAAACAAACACTGCACAAATTTCTCATTTCATCTTATTTCTTCTCACTTCTTTTTCTCTCTCTTTCGCTCTGTCTGTGATGAAGATTTTGAGAAATAGAAACAAACAACAACAAAAACAGCACTTACAAACTTACTCCAATATGAAGTTACAGTACAAAAAAAAATTGTTGTTACTCTAAACAAAGAATAAAATCGTCAATAGAAAATCACTATTGAAAATTCCAACGCACTTTTCTACATTTTACTCTTCTGCTTTCTCTCATGCCCATTTCAATCCTTCTCTCTTCCTGTTTCACCCGATATAATCGAGAAACACCGAGACTTAATAAACACACTCAGTAGAACAAAACTACACTTTCAGAAGCCATCGATTTTTGTGCGTGTTGGGAAAACAAGATAAATCTCACGTCAAGCATTCATCTCCGCGCAATGGAAATTCCCGCGTGAAGGGAATTCTGCCAGAAATGTGCAACGAACACACACACACACACACATTGAGAATCTGCACGACAATTCAACACACGCGCGCGCATTTACATCTTGGGGAACATATTGAGAATGGCAGCGCAAATCTTCTGCGGATTCGTCTCATCCGGATACATCTGCATCACGATCTTCACCTGCTCCTCGGGGAAGATGCTGGCCAGATGGTAGTGCAGTCGGCGACGCTGGTCCACAGCCGTTGAGGCCTGCGGCGGCCCAACGGGAATCCTACGCTGCTGCTGCTGCTGCTGTGACCACAAATGGGGCTCCGAAGACGACGCTGGCGGCGGTCCTCCGTGCCACGGTCGAGCAGGATCAGGCGCGGAAGCGTTTCGCGTGACATTCTAAGGAGAAAGACAGAAAGACAGTCAGCAAAAATGCATCACGTAAAAGGGTGGTAAACTGCGTATCTCACCTGATGCAAATCCCACTGCGTCGGACAATGCGGCGTGCGTGGTCCGCTGAGGGATGGCGCGACAGGACGATGCTGTGCATGGCTAGGCTGCTGTTGACTCGTAGGCGAACAAAGGCCGCCCATTCGCTGAATTTGATAGATTCTCGGGTCACATCCGGCCGGATTCAGTGTCAGTTGCCTCTGGAGCTTCCTGTGCAGATTCACACTATCGCCATCATCCTTGCTGGCCGGCGCACCCTGTCGCACCCACATCTGCGGAAAGTGCTGTTGCTGCAGATTTTCAATACTGTGTGACTTGGGAAAATTGGCGGGATCCCATGAGTGACTAGGCGCCGCCGCGTATGGCATCTGCGAACTCCCCTGCGGCTGTTGCTCCATTACGCCAAATTGCGCCGCCATGGCAGGACCCTCAGACACACTGGAGCGCGTACGACTGAGCGGCTTGCGCGCACCACCCACGGGACTAGTTTCACCACTACTGCTCAGCGGCACACTCAGCGACTTGCCCTGCACCGGTTGACGATTCTCCCCAGGACGCACCGGCAAGTGACGCGCCGCATATTCAGACAGGCGCTCCGTGACAGACTTCTGTGGTCCAGAACCCCGCTCGGGATGATTGTACTTGCACTTGTTGCCATACGTGCACTTCTTGCCATACGGACAAGGAGGCGGAGGTTCACCTTTTCTGTAAAAGACAACACATAGGAGTTAGTGAACGATTGCTGGACGACTATCAATATTGTCCACTTACTTTGGCTGAATCCTAAGGAAGTTCTCCAAAGTCGGACCGGTTCGTCCCAATGGATCATCCGGTGGCATGAAGCGATCATTCACAAAGGAATACATCAGCACGCGCTCTTCGGACACCTTCTTGAACTCCGAACTCTCCTGCCCGAGATCGCGATAGTTATCATTTGACACCACAATTCCATCAATCTCTGCAGCCAACTGCAAAAGAAGACAAAGCCAATGTTGATAAACACTTGCTGGACACAAGTGACTATGTCAAGTCACTCTCTCACCTTGAGAATGTATCGATCATCATAGCAGACCATCCTCTTGCCGCCGATGAGACGCGACGGTGTGAACACCAGCATCCTCTCGCGCTCCAGCTCATTGAGGATCTCCTGATCGCGAATGGGATGATCAGGCCGTGAGGCCTCCTTGCGCCACTTGGGCACGAACACTGTGATGTCCTTGTGGCCACGATTCCTGAACCAGTCTACGCACAGCTTAATGCCCCGGCAGGAGAACACCTGCTTGTTCCCATGACTCATGGCTACATTGCTGCCATCGACCACGATGGGTCTCAGTTCATTTGAATCCTCCGTCACCTCTGGCGGTGGCGGCGCCGCAGCGCCCGTGGGCGACACGCACTCCACATGCTGCTGCGCCTCCGCCGCGAAATCCCCGCTCTTCGTGCCGTGCAGCGCGCCCAGCTTGATCAGCTCCGCCAGCAGTTCATTCTGCGCCGGATTGGGGCCCAGGCGTGCCAACGCCGCCTGCACGAGGCGCTCAGTGTAGCCCAGCTTCAGTGCAAACTCCACGCGCGCCGTGTAGCCCGGCGAGCGTTCCGGAGCGCCACTGCTCACATACTCAGCAAACTCCTGGCCCAGCGTGTCACTCGTCGTCCGCGACACTTGCTGATGCGCGTCATCGACCTCGCAGTCGGAATCGTAGCTGCTATCCTCAGCCTCGGCGATGCACAGTGATTCAATGTAGTGCTGCAAACGGAAGAAGAAAAAAACACGAGAGCTTAGCAAAAGTGCCTTTCACCGAGGAAAAGTTTGACGAAAATCTGTTCTCAAAGTAATCTTCAGCTCAGACATATTGGAAAAATTGCCCTCAAAGCGAAATGGAGTGGGTGCGATTCCGTTTTCCACCCCCACATCGAGAACAGGATGAAAATATTAGCATAATGAACAGTCTATAGATAGAAGAATTCCTCTTCTTTCATCAAAGTTGCAAATTTCCATTAGCAAAATGACTAAAAACCAGCTTTAGACCAGGATTAACAAACATTCGCTCCGCTCCGTTTTGTTTGCTCTTCCCTGCATTTATGCAAACTCAATGGATTTCGCATAAACAAACAAGCAGCCAACTGATATAAATTGCTGAAATGTCAATACTTGCTCAAACGCCAGAAAAAAAGAAAACATTCTGCTCAAATAACCACTTGTTGCAGTCTCATATTTACCCTCACATGCTATATGGCAGGATTTCCTGCATCCTCAAATTCAATTTCAAGCACCGTGAGTGAAAAACACATCATGTACATGTGTTGAGAGCACTTTCCATATCAATTATATGGACAAATTGACAAGGAAAAATACCTTTTTCCGCCCACGCACTGCATTTTTACTTGGAAATTCAGTTTCAAATCGCATTAAGTCCTCTGAAGTGGGCGCAAAAAAATACCTTGAATATCAGCTAAGTCTGTGTTGTTTCAGTATTTTGAAGTTAAGCACACTTTTGCCCATGCAAAGAGCATCTCATGGCGATCTCATAGAGATTGCTTTCACAGTATTATTTCCAACAAACTAATTACCACACTCTTTCCAAATATGCAAACTATGGATTCTCTCCTGGCAACATGAAACCTTGCTATAGTTACTCAACTCTCCATGTAGAAGTTATTAATTAATTTGCTAGGAAACCAAACACAATAAAGCACGCCTGAAAGAGTCTTATTACAGTTCCTTATAAGCGCACAAATATAGTATTTAAAAAAAAAACTCTCTGCAGAGGTATAACTTTATTGATATTATTTTAAACTAACAAACAAGCATTCTGTGACGGTGGAAAGAAATTATCTTCTCCTATATTGTTTTTATTGCAAAGTTTCTCCCACATCACGCAGAGACATTCCGTCGCTGTCGCAATTCCACGTATAATTCAATCAATATTCACAACTCTGGCGACGATGGACAACAGAATTGAATTACATGGCAATAACAGTGAAAAATGCTTTCATAACCAGTCAATCAATCAATTTATCCAGCACTCAGTGGCGCACAATTGAAGGAAAAAATGTAGATCAACAATATATCTTTGATGAATATTGTTGATCCAAGTGCGTTTTGGCGAAAACCAATTCAGAATATGCTAAAAAACCCAGTTTTATACATTACATTCAAGGGCAACGTCTTTTTCGGCGCAGTAAATCCCCATCGAGAAATCCAATGACTAAGTCCAAAGATGACACACGTCAAGGGTAACTCTCTCTCACTGCTCAAGTCAATGTAAACAATGCATTTTTACGAGAATTTTCAGAATTCAGTGCGGATTACTAAGAACATTTTGCTATTTATAATTGCACATACACGAGATAAAATGATAATTCAACCGGAAGTACATTCACTCTGTGTTATTTGCACTTTGCACACATTTGCGAAGCAGTTAGATTTTTACACACATCACCTCTCGCCACCTTTTTGCCAACATTTAATTCATCTGAGCAACGCCGCGTTCATGATAACGGGAATTGCATGTCTGGAGAAATCAATTCTCCGAGAACATTGCACGTCATTCGGCCCAGAACACACCACAATGCACATGACGATCATCACGCAGTTGAGTATAATTCTTCAAAATTACCAATTCAATTGGACAACGACCATTAGAGTCAACACAAATTTTAAATATACCGCCTTTTTTAGGTCATTGTTCAGATTGGAATAAGATAGTTGAGAATAGCAATATATTTTGATGAGAATTACTATGAAAATGCCATAAAAATCACTTTCTGAATCTGAGGCAAACAAGAAGTTGAATATCTTGAAATCTCTAATATCCAAGATACCAACCAAAATAGACTTGAAACAAGACCGGAAGAAGGAAATTCGGAACAAACTTAGATTGCAAATGTTGAGCAACAGTAAATGTGAAAACGAAGTATTAAGATTCTCAGTGATTACTTTGCTTTGTGAGTCTGTAAAAGGACATCTTGATTGCTTGATATTTAGCATGGACACAATTCCACAAAATTGCATTTAGGAATATCACTTTATTAATTTAATGTATATATTTCCATCCCTTTATAGTTCTCATTAAGCTCTATATTAAAATATTATCCCATTGCATAATTAGATTGCAATGCGTGAAGCTGCTTTGGAAGTTGTTTAATTAAATTGATATCATGGTAAAATACAACATCAAAGTGTCAAGCAGAGAGAGAGAGAGAAAGAGTGGGGGAAATTGATTGATCTTTGTGATACGTTTTCACGCAATATCCAAATGCATCATTTGTTTGTTTGTTTGTTTGACGCAGCAAATATGATTTCCAGGGATCCCGTGGCGTTACTAAATGCACTCACTCACTATGTGAATCCTTTGAAAGCTTTGTTGAATGAGCTGTACTCTGTGAAATAGAGAACTCTCCTCATCCTTTGCCACTGTATCCCATTCAAGCATATTTCACATCAGAGATTCATCAGTTAATTAAGAGCATTCACCGTTGAGAACAACTCTTCCACACAGTCAGATCAGCAGAGACACAGAAAATTTCGCAGGAATTGTATAATTATTCCATTAAAAAGTGTACAAACACCAAATCACGAAATAACTAATATGTATATATGTGGACATAATTTCTATCATCAATTGACGTCAGTATTTATCGTTTTTGCCATGCTTTTTTCATCATTCAAATTATACAATTCTGTAAATCAAATTATTCACGTCTCCGGAGACGCTTTTTTGCACACATCATCATCATCATCATCATCATCGTCGTCGTCGTCTTGTCTTCTCATCATTGAGACGAGGGAAAAGGTGACAAAGAAGAAAATTAATTTTCTCACTACTCAATATGGCGCATCCTCCACCTGGGAAATGGTGAGTGAAGAGGATTTGTGTGGCAGAAATTGAAAAAGCGCAAAGGATTGATACATGTGATAGAATTATTGCAACTATTTGATCATATGCTGAAAATTACCTGAAATGCTTTGACGCTTAATCGCCAATTTGCCTTCTCATCCGCGAAATACTGGGAGAAAATTGAGATTTCCGCGCCTACACTCGGTCAATTCGTCACGAGAAACCACACACGATCGTCAGTGTGTGAATTGAGGGGAAAAAAGGCAACACAATCGATGTGAACCCAATGACGTCGATCATGAGACGTCTGGCCAGGATAGAGGGTGGTGGTGGTGGGGGGGGAGCATGTGTATGTGGAATTAGTGAATGCCAAATGTGAGTTGGCGCAAGTGGCAAAGATTAGGCAATTCACTCTGGTGGAGATTGTTAGACATATTTTACGAGTATTAAGATCCGCTTTCGAATGTCACTTTCGCGCGTGTCTTGCGTTTCAACATATCTACAAACTGTTTTTTCACGCTTTTCTCTCTCTCCCTCTCACTGTCTTGGCAGAATGGAAAACATTCTAGGGAAAAGTGGAATAAATTTGAACACACATTTGTATTTTTCACTAGAGGCTAGTGGAATTTATTGCATGGATTTAAGAAAAATAACCCCTTTGAGAGATTTATTTCAACTTTGATTGCAGATCCTCCACATGACTCTCCACATTTGCCCCATTCTCCGCTATAGTCATATAATATACTGTGAGGAATACCTTGAATATTTCTCTCACATCAATACTGGCAATAAATAAAGATAATATTCTAAGGCCAGACATAATATTCCCCATGACGGAATCCAACACAGCACATTAATTTCGATATGGTAGAAAGTTCATAACTTTCAACCTGGAGTTATTGGTGAAGGGGAAAAATACAGTCTTAAGTATTCCATAAAATTACCTTATCACTCGAACGCCTGATGAGTATTTTATGCATAATCAACAGTGATATGCTAAACAGGGTCCGTCAGAAGAAATATAGTATAAGTTTGAGAGTCTCCTTGCAATATTTTTCTTTTCACCCACGAAATACAAAAAAAAATACACTAAAGCACAGCACAAATTGATGTTGGGAAAATTAGCTAAGATAACGAACAGTTTTGTCTAAACTTTTTTTTGTTGTCTTTTTGGTAAATCTCTATTCACAATCACCGACGAGGCACTCTGTGCGAGTGAACAAGACGTACGCCAGAAAGATGAAAGAGCAAGAGAGAGATTATGAATGACATCGACTCTCTACATCCGCTTCAAGATCCGGGCACTCGCTCCATTAATCCAAATTTCATTGAGCCAAACACCGTCGTGTGTTTCATTTGAATACCAACACCAGACAGCCCAAAAAGTGTATACGACACAGTCTCTCGAGGGTGATATCTCGATGGATTTTCTCACTCATAAAGCAAGCACGCACTCTTTTTTCACGCCTGGAAAATCTCTCTCTCTCTCTCCCTTAATGAAATCACGCGCGCCAACAAGTGCTTTCACTCAATATCTTTTCTCTTTGCCTTCTTATTTGCCAAGCAAAATAAGAGTCTTCACAACACTGTCTACTTTAATTTCTTTCTGTTTTTTTCCTTCACAAAAGAACTCAAATGCTCAATGATAAAAAAAAATGCTAAAGCATTTGGGAAAATTTGTCACAAACACAAACTCAGAGGAACTCGAGAAGAAACTTCATATTTAAAAAAGATCTTTTAAAGGTAAAATATTTTGTTTATTATTTATTACTTTTAAAATCAGTCTCAGCAGAATTTCCCTAAATCATGAAATTTAATTAATTGCAAATAAAATTCTTAGTTATATCTATGTCAAGTCTCTCCGTGCACTTTTTATCACTTTTCTCTCTCAACATTTATTATCTTG